ATCCCCACCCCCACCCCAGGCTCCTACATGCACAGGGTGCACATATACACCTACAGGCTCGCACAGGCACGTAAACAAAAATATATGAATAAACTTTTAAAAAGAAAGAAAGAAAGAAAGAAAGAAAGAAAGAAAGAAAGAAAGAAAGGAAGGAAGGAAGGAAGGAAGGAAGGAAGGAAGAAAGGCTGGAGAGATGGCTCAGAGGTTAAGAGCACTGACTGCTCTTCCAGAGATCCTGAGTTCAATTCCCAGCACACAACCATATGTAATGGGATCTGATGCCCTCTTCTGGTGTGTCCATAGACAGCGGCAATGTACTCATATACATAAATAAATAAATCTTGGAAAGAAAGAGAAGATGGAGAGCCATTGAGGAAGACAATGGATATTGACCTCTGACACCCACACACATACGTCACACAAACATTTAACAATAGCACACATAGCGAAGTTGTTATCTATCTATCTATCTATCTATCTATCTATCTATCTATCTATTTTTGGTTTTTGTTAATCAAATGCAGGGTCTGATCTATGCCCTCACACCTCTGTGGCTCTTCTTGGGCAGGCTGTCTCCCCAGTGTTTAAAGTTCTGACCAGCTTCCTCTCTCACACAGACCTAGAGAAAGGGCTCCTGAAAGCCCTGAAGGTTCTAGACAATTACCTGACATCCCCACTCCCGGAAGAAGTAGATGAAACCAGCGCCGAAGATGAGGGCATCTCTCAGAGGAAGTTTCTGGATGGCAATGAGCTCACCCTGGCTGACTGCAACCTGCTGCCAAAACTTCACATAGTACAGGTCAGTGGTTGGGTCATGGTCGGTGGTCACCATGAAACAGGATGAATCCTCTAAGGTGAATTAAAAAAAAAATCACCTTTTATTTATTACAAGGGGCAGGGCACAAATGAGATATGGAAATCATGAGAAAATTGGGGGAGTCGGTTCTCTCCCTCCACCATGCAGATCCCAAAGACCGAGCTTTGGTCACCTGACTTTGGTCACCTGACTTTGATCACCTGACTTGGCTGCAGATGCCCTTACTCAGCCAAGCAGTCTCACTAGTCAGTGGTGCTGCCATCATGCCGAGGTTTTGACATGGATGCTGAACATCCAGACTCAGGTAGTCATACTTGCATGGCAAGCATCCGCTCTCTCCGAATGGTTTCCATAGATTGTTACCAGTGGTGGGTCCATCCAGGGACAGCTTATCCCTTAGCAGTTGTAGCCCGAGTAAGAGAATCACATTTTATGAGACAAGCCATGCTTATACAGCATCCAGTTAAGAGTGGTACTCAGTTTTGCTGTATGTACATGTGTTTCTGTGTGTAGCTGTGTGTATGAGTGTCTGTGTGTATGTGTGCCTGTGTTACTATGTGTGTGTGTGTGTGTATGCCTGTGTGCCTGTGTATCTGTGTGTGCCTGTGTGTATGAGTGTCTGTGTGTATGTGTGCCTGTGTTACTGTGTGTGTATATGTATGCCTGTGTATCTGTGTATATGTGTGTGCCTGTGTGTATGACTGTCTGTGTATATGTGTGTGTCTATGTGAATGTGTATGCTTATGTGTCTGTGTGTATGTGTGTGCCTGTGGGCCTGTATGTGTGTACCTACCTGTTTGTGTTCAGGGTTACTTCCAAAAATGCTTTTCCTGCAACTGTATATCATGGCCAAATGCACAGGTCAAACACAGGATTCTCCCAGGTCTACGGAACTCTTCACATAGTCCAGGCTTCCTATCTTCTCTCAAGGACTCTTCCTGAGTTGCTGTTTCCTTTCTGTCCAGGCCTTAAAGCTACAGTGTAATTTAGTAACACAGAGTCTCTATCATTCCACCATCAACGAGAAGCACCAGACAGTGAAAAAGCTGGACAAAGTGGTCCGTGCCTGTAATCCTCAGCGTGCTAAGGCTGAAGTAGCAAGTTCAGTGGGAACTGGAGGCCAGTCCCAGCTACAGAATAAGACCCTGTTTCAAACACCACCACCACCACCACCCCCCCCACACACACACACAAAAGAAAAAAGAGAAAAGAAGCAAACAGTGCTTAGTTCTTGCCCACAAACAGTTGAAATTGAATTGAAGATAAAAGGTTCACATCAAGGGATGTGATGGCTTGGAGAGATGGCTCAGTGGTTAAGAGCACTGACTGTTCTTCCAGAGGACCCGGGTTCAATTCCCAGCACCCACATGGTGGCTCCTAACTGTCTGTAACTCCAGTTCCAGAGGATCTGACATCCTTACTCAGACATACATACAGTTAAACACCAATGCACATAAAATATAAAACAAACAAATTTTAAAAACCCATTCATATCAAGGTACTAATAGATAACCTGAAAGTCAAGTGAAAAGGAGACAAAATTCACTACAATAATGTTACTCGTTGCTAATTATCTTTTCCTGTGTGTGTGTGTGTGTGTGTGTGTGTGTGTACTGGAAATAAAACCCAGGGCTAACCACATCCCTAGCCTGTGTCTGTCTCTGCCTCTGTATATATTCAGTTTTAATTACAAGTGAGTGCAGGTGCCTTTGGAGGGCAGACAGAGATAGATCCCTAGATCACCTCATACACACAGGTGCACAGGCACACACACACACAGGCACACACACACACAGGCACACACACACACAGGCACACACACAGGTACACACACAAAGGCACACACAGGCACACACACACACAGGCACACACACAGGCACACACATACACAGGACAGGCACACATACACAGACACACACACACAGGTACACAGGCACACACATACACAGGCACACACATACACAGGACAGGTACACAGGCACACATACACAGGCACAGGCACACACACACAGGCACACAGGCACACACATACACAGGACAGGCACACAGGCACACATACACAGGCACAGGCACACAGGCACACAGGCACACAGGCACACAAATACACAGGTACACACACCTCTTTGGAGGTAGATCCCCTGGAACTGGAGCTGCCCAGTGAGGGGGCTGGAAACCAAACATCTGCAAAAGCAGCTGGTGCTCTTCACCACTGAGCCATTTCTTAGCCTGTCTTTCTCTTCTTTATTTTAGTTTCTTTCTTTCTTTCTTTCTTTCTTTCTTTCTTTCTTTCTTTCTTTCTTTCTTTCTTTCTTTCTTTCTTTCTTTTTTAGGTTTTTCCAGACAGGGTTTCTCTGTGTAGCTCTAGCTGTCCTGGAACTCACTCTGTAGACCAGGCTGGCCTCGAATTCAGAAATTCGCCTGCCTCTGCCTCCCAAGTGCTGGGATTAAAGGCGTGCGCCACCACTGCCCGGCTCTTTTGTTGTTGTTGTTGTTTTGTTTTGTTTTGTTTTGTTTCTTGAGACAGGGTCTTTCTAATTAGTTTTAGCGACCATGGAACTTGCTAGGTGAGTTCTAGGACAGCCAGGTTTACACAGAGAAACTCTGTTCCGGGGTGTGTGTGGGGGTGTTCATGGGGATGGAGGGGAACAAATCAGTAAGAAGTCTCTAGTGGGACTGGAGAGATGGCTCAGTGATTAATAGCCACTAGCTGCTCTTCTAGAGGACCCAGGATCAGTTCCCAGCACCCATATGGCAACTAACAACCATCTGTACCAGAGGATCTGATGTCCTAGTGCACAGTCATACAAATAAGCAAAACACCCATCCTCATAAAAAAATAAAAATAAATCTAGCCAGCATGGTTGTGCATGCCTTTAATCCCAACCCTTTGGAGGTAGAGTTGGGTGGATCCCAGAGTTCGAGGCCAGCCTGGTCTACAGAGCAAGTTCCAGAACAGCCAGGGCTACACACAGAGACCCTGCCCTGAAAAGCCTAAATAAATAACGTCTAAAAGAACAATTTTTGCCGGGCAGTGGTGGTGCACACCTTTAATCCCAGCACTTGGGAAGCAGAGGCAGGCGGATTTCTGAGTTTGAGGCTAGCTTGGTCTACAGAATGAGTTCCAGGACAGCCAGGGCTATACAGAGAAACCCTGTCTCGAAAAAACAAACAAAAAAAAAATTTAAAGACTGTAGCACAGGGTGCATGCCTGTAATACCAGTTCTCAAGGTTAAGGAAAAAGGTTCTAGAGATCATCCAGCCTGTGTTACAATACAGAGACCCTATCTCAAAACAACGCAAGCAGAAAAGTCTGTAAGAACCGAAGCAGAATGGTCTGGCAGCCTGGACAGGGCTCTGGTTTGTTTGTTTGTTTGTTTGTTTGTTTAACCTGGCAGACCCTAAAGGAAGAGAAAGTTCAGTAGCTCCAAAGCAAGCAAGCATGTCTTCCCTGGGGCTAACTTGCTGACCTCTCTCTAACCTCCAGGTGGTGTGCAAGAAGTACAGAGGCTTCACCATCCCAGAAGCATTCCGTGGAGTGCACCGGTACTTGAGCAACGCATATGCCCGGGAAGAATTCGCCTCCACCTGTCCAGACGATGAAGAGATAGAGCTGGCCTATGAGCAGGTGGCCAGGGCTCTCAAATGAGCACCTTTAAAGGGTCCTTCACCCACTCTGTGTTCTCCACAGAGGCTTCCACGTTGCTGCATAATGGACACACTCCGAAATAGCCAGTGGGCAGGAAATCCGGGGCACTTGTGCGGGGCCGGGGGTGGAGCTGGGGGATAAAGCCAAGGATAGCAGACAAGGGTTAAGATTTTTATTTTGGGTTGGGGTGGGTAGGACAACGTATTTCAGTAATAAAATACAGAATGGAAAATCTAGTGTTGTTTTTACACAAAGACGGCTTAAAGTGTAGCGGGCTCCAAAAGAAGAGAAGGGTCAGTGATCTTAAGCTCGGTGCATCTGCCGGGAATTAAGGAGGGGAGTGTTTGGACAGGGTCTGCCATGTTTTGTATCCGTCTATGAGGGGGCTGTTCCGTGGTCCACGTCGCGTTTGCAGCCCCGCAGCCAGGGCCAGTGGGATCTGGGTGGGTCTGGGCAGCGCTCTTGGGGCGGTGCCTGAGTTCAAGGAAGGGGGGCACTCAACCCTGGAGGAATGGGCGCGGCCTAGCTGGGCGGAATGGGCGTGGTCTTAGAAAGGCCCGCCCCGTCCCGCTTAGACAATGCCCCGGAGCCGCCAGACCATCGCGCCCCGCCCCATCGCCGTACGTGAGCTCGCCTACCCTGGGAACCCCTCAAAAGCCCGAGCTATCGGTCTCTCCAGCTTGAAGACTCAGACTCCCATCTTCATTAACTCTCTCCTCTGGGGGGTGGGGCCAAGGCCGAAATCACAAGGCTGCAGGAGTGGAGGTGGCTGCTGGTGAGTCTGGAGAGGGGGCTGTCTCCCTAACGGTACGGGAAGGCTGGAGTTTGGGGGTGCTACATACGTGCCTGCACCGGACGGTGTGTGCGAATAACCTGCGCTTGGGCGAAGAGCTGGGCGGGGTAGACTTTAGAGGAAGATGGACAGGGGTACGGAGTTCTGAAGCCTGGAGTGGTTCCACGCCGCGCCCCTCCCCCGTTTCTCCGCCCTCCTGATTTCATTTAAGACCTCTCCCAGTCCTCGGGGACTAAGTCTGGTTTGTACTGGGTCGCTCGAAGGGCAGCGAGACGACCCGGGGTGGAGAGAGAGGATGCTTAACTCCTTAGACTCTAGTTCCTCCGGTTTGCGCCCGTTCCCCTTTCTCCGTCGAGCATTCAAGACTTCACACCCCAGGTTCTGATTCGCCATCCAGCTTTCTTTTCCAGTCCCATAACCTCTGCGGGTCCCTGGCAGGACTTTAGGTCCCTCCTGCTGCGAGCAGCTGAGGGTTAAGGGGGCGGGGCCGCCGCATTTTTGGGGAGTGAGCGCATCCTAGCGGCTGCCAGGAGGGGCGCGGGGCAGGGACCTAGCGGAGCCCCGAGCAGGGGCAACAGGTGTTTGGGAGATTAAGGATCCAAGTCTTGTTCCCTTGGGGGCCTCTTAAAGCAGATCTCCGGTGAAACGAGGCTGAGCGGGGTCCACAGAGCTAGAAGGTTATGAGGGGGTGGGGCAGAGTGGGAGGGGCGCCTGGAGATGGCAGGAGGAAGACCTAGGAGCTTTTTAACACTGCCCCCTTCTCTTCTTTGCATGTCTTTCTCTTCGGCTCCGCCCCTTTCTGCTTCTTCTCAGACAAGTGAAGTAAAGAGAAAAATCAAAACAGCTTGGCTGGAAGGGGCTTCTGTGTGGATGTGATGGGGACGCCGGGGGAGGGGCTGGGTCGCTGTTCCCACGCCCTGATCCGGGGTGTCCCCGAAAGCTTGGCATCCGGGGAAGGTGCTGGCGCTGGTCTTCCGGCTCTGGACCTGGCTAAAGCTCAAAGGGAGCATGGAGTACTAGGAGGTAAACTGAGGCAACGACTAGGGCTGCAGCTGCTTGAACTGCCTCCCGAGGAATCACTGCCGTTGGGACCGCTGCTTGGTGACACGGCTGTGATCCAAGGAGACACAGCCCTAATCACAAGGCCCTGGAGCCCAGCGCGTAGGCCTGAGGTGAGGGCCAGGGTGCGGGTGTGTTGGAGGACAGCTTTGCACGGGGTGGGGTGGAGGAAGGTCGGGGAGGAGGGGAGGCTGGATGTCTGGGGTTGGCAGGAAATAGGGAGTGAAGATGTCTCTGCCTGCTCTCTCTTCTCCAAGGTTGATGGGGTCCGTAAAGCCCTTCAGGACTTGGGGCTCCGAATTGTGGAGATGGGGGATGAGAACGCGACGCTGGACGGCACTGACGTCCTCTTCACCGGTGAGGCTACGGATGGTCAGCACCTCTGTGGGCTTGGCCAGGGAAGCAGAGTTTGGGAGACTAGAGGATCTCAGGTCTTGACTCCAAACTTACACTGGCTTTCAAACCTTCGCATCCTCCCGGGGTTCAGGCCGGGAGTTTTTCGTAGGCCTCTCCAAGTGGACCAATCATCGAGGAGCTGAGATCGTGGCAGATACATTCCGGGTGAGGAACCAGAGAAGCTTGGGGAGGGAGTGCCGCCAATGTGCTAGAGGGCTTGACCCGCGCTCGTTACGCACCTCCAAATCCTCCTGCTCTTCTAGGACTTCGCCGTCTCTACGGTACCGGTCTCAGGCTCCTCGCACCTGCGCGGCCTCTGTGGCATGGGGGGACCTCGCACTGTGGTGGCTGGAAGCAGCGAGGCTGCCCAGAAAGCAGTCAGGGTGAGGCGGGTCAGGGCTGTGGCGAAGGCGTGGCCAACACAGTGGGCGTGGTTTAAGGCAGGGGCGGCACAGAAGCTGGCTAGCTCTGGGAATTGCCCACAGCCCTTGTCTTCACTAAGATGCTCATCTAACACAAAGGGACACCCTAGCAAGCATGAGGTACAGAAGAAACAAGAGTCGGGGAGGGGCTACAGAAGCAAGACGTAACTAAGGTGCCTGAGACCGACTGTGTCTGACACACCAGGCATTATAAACCTGCTGTCATTATCTCACAAAAGTAACCCTTGCTCCAAGCCCTTGCTTTGTGGTAGGTCAGGAGGCAGACTGAGCTGTGGAGACCTCAACGCCCTCTTCCTCTCTCCAGGCCATGGCAGCGCTGACTGATCATCCCTACGCCTCTCTGACGCTCCCAGATGACGCAGCTAGTGACTGTCTCTTTCTGCGTCCCGGGTTGCCTGGTGCCACACCTTTCCTCCTGCACCGCGGAGGTGGGGACCTGCCCAACAGCCAAGAGGTGAGGGAGGGGAAAACCGCCCCACCAACCAGAGAAAGAAGTCTGTCTTCCCCAGTGGGAGAAAGGAGGGGGCCCTTCTTCAGAAACCTGGGTGGGACCACTAGGAACTGGCTAGGGGGCGTGGCTCTAGTACCAAAACATCCTTGGGGTCCTCCCTGTAGGCTCTGCAGAAGCTCTCTGACGTCACCCTGGTACCCGTGTCCTGCTCAGAACTGGAGAAGGCTGGAGCTGGTCTCAGCTCCCTCTGCCTGGTGCTCAGCACACGCCCCCACTGCTGAGGGTCTGCATTTGGGGATCCAACTGGCTAGGAATAGAGCCGTCTAGGGGGTAGAATCAGGTAATAGAGGCTGGGTAGACATGGGGAGATGCCCCAGGATAGGGAAGGACTTAGTATGGGACAAAGAATAGTAGTCATTGGGTGGGTTCTCTCTGTCAAAACCAATAAAATAAAATTGGCCTTTTGGATAAGGGCTGTGGCTGGTTTCTCACTGGGACAAAGGGATGAGGTGGAGTTGAAACCTGAAGCTGAGCTCCGTGCTAGGGAGGAGGGTTCTTTTTTGTTTTGTGAAAGATGGGGTTTCTCTGTGTAGCTCTGGCTGTCCTGGAACTCACTGTGTAGACCGTGTTGCCCCCAAACTCATAGAGATCCACCTGCCTCTGTCTCCTGAATGCTGGGATTAAAAGCGTGGGCCACCGCCACCCAGATGGACTCTTTCATTTAAAGACACTCCTCCTTATGTGCTTCCTGACTCACTCCAACCCTGTCACAGGGCTCAGGGACAAAGAGGGACAAGAGGCCATTTCTGTTGTGGGGAGTACAGGCAGGGTGGGGAGGGGATTGTGTGCGTGGGCAGATCACTTTCTGAATTTACCTACATGTCAGGTGACTCAGGCTCTGGTGGATGACAAGCCGGCTTTTATTTGGTAAAGAAGAAAGGAATGTTTTCCAGGACTCTCATTCATGTCCCACAGGTCAACAGTGATATCAAAAGGGAAACTCATACTTTCTGATATTTTCTTATAATCTGACAGACGTGTTGTAATGGGGTGATTTATTTGCTGGAGTCTGTTTCTATGAGGAAAAACCAGAGGGGTTCTAAGAGCATCAAATGTTGTGCAGGAGTAGGCAAGCATTTGGGGTGAGGGTATCCCAGAAAAAGCTACATGTGAATGACATCCTGCTGGAGGATAAATTATCTGGGCAGGAAGTGAGGAAGAGGAAAAAGGAATCAAGAAAATGTAATTTATTTCAAAGAGTCAACAAGTATTGTGGGGAGAACATTGCGGAGAAACTCTCTAAGGAGGGCACGTGTACACAGAAAATGATGGCTAGGCCTAAGAGGGGGCCAAGTGCTGGAGCCTATATGCAAAGCCCACGCCCACGTCCCCAGAGCTGAAGCTTTGAGAGAGAACCAATGGTTGATACCAGGCAGTATCTCTCTGGCTTTGAATAGGAAGGGCAGAACAGGAAGCTCAGAGGGGTCTGTGGGTCACCCATGAAGCAAATAATGAAAGTATATTCGGTGGCAGCATTGGGCATGGAGACAGATAGAGAGGACAGTGACCTACTACAGACAACGCCTTGTGTGGTGGTGCATGCTTACAATCACTCTTATCCCAGCACTGAAGGTGGAGGTAAGGAAGGCAGGATTTCAAAGCCAGCCTCAGCCACAGGAGAGCCTGTCTTTAAAAGGAGTGGAAAGGCAGCGGGAGGGGGCGTCCTGATAAGTCTTTGTGTGGGAGAGAAGGTGGTGGTGTACTCTGACTCCCACTTTATGGCTTGGGCAACTTGGGTTCTTCAAGAGATTTCAGAGGAAGACCCAGGGGATGACTTAAGAAATGACTGGGTCAGGTTTGACAGGACTTGGGCGAAATGCCTGAGGCCACCCAGGCAGCCTTGTGCAAAATGCCTGAGGCTGTCCAGACAGAGTGTACTAGGTCTGAGATCTGGGTTGGAGGGAATACTGGGTGTCATTTCGGGGCTGAGGATTGACTGGCTAGCTTCCTAGAAGAGGAGTAAAGAGGAGAAACAAAGAAGCAAGCAGAGCCGCAGGGCATCTACAAGGACAATAGCAACAAAGTAAACCCTGGTTTAAAGAGGGGTGAATGTTATCACTTGGTAGGACATCACTGGCAACCTCTGAGTGGATGAGCAGCTGCAGTCAATGAGCCGAGAGAGTGCAGTCAGGCAGGAAAAACGAGGCAGGTCTATGTCTAAAGTTCAAAATGATTGATTGGGCCAGGCAGTGCCTTTAAACTCAGAAATTGGGAGGCAGAGGCAGGTGAATTCTCTGAGTTCAAGGCTAGCCTGGTCTATGGTCTACAGGGTTTCAGGACAGCCAAGGATCCGCAAAGAAACCCCTTCTCGAAAAACAACAAAAAAGCTTGATCAGAAAGGGAGGGGAACAGACAAGATATCTATTTGGGAGTTAAAACTAAAGACGGACAACTTGATCATCTTTAGAGTGGGCATCGGCGGAGAAGGAAAGATGTTATAGCAGAGATGGAAGAGGCTGAAAACACTGAAGTGGCATAGAGCGCAAGCCAGGTAGCCGGGCTCCTAGATTAGTGCCTCTGTCCATGGTGCCTCCCCCTTCTAGCTGAGGTTATACAGGGAAGCCCCAGATTGGAAGGGTTGGCAGAACAAGGGCTTCCCTTTATACTACAACCGCATAGACAGTGGAGGCATCACCAGGGACTACTGTGGACATCCGGCGGTGCCTCCCAAGGACAGAGTAGTCCAGATCAGCATAGTGGAGGCTCTGGAGGAGGTAGAGGGAGGAAGGTAGCATGGTCTTATCAGTCTGACCCCTTAGCTTTGATTCAAAGCCTTTTTCTTTTCCCCACAGTGGGTAAAGACGACTATGTAGCAAAGCTTGACTTCCATCTTCCTGGGTAAACCTCCAGAGTGCTGGAATTACACGGTTGCTCCACAACAACCTAGCTAGGCTTCTCTCTTGGCCCGCTTTCCTCCGGGATTCTGGCCTTTTTCCCATCCCAGGCCCTTACCGGCTCCTGGTCCAGGTGTCCTGAGATCTTGGACTCCTGTTCTAAAGGCTTCTGTGGCTCAGCATTTATGACTGGAGTGGGAGGGAGGGACAGAGCTGAAGGACGAAGAGAAAATGACCAACTTTGTCTGCTCCTGGCAAGGACTCAGACTCAAGAATTCAGGGTTAGGGATTGTGCGGGTAGGAGAGGGGAAATGGGAGGCAGTTAATCTCACCAAATGTGGGTAGTGGTCCAGGCGGGGGCGGGGGTGGGGGCGGGGGCGAGCGTCTGTAAGGAAGTCCTTGGAGAGTCACCAGTCTCGTCCTACTGGTTCCTCGGCCTCAAGCGGCACCAATAAGAACTGTGCAAACTGCAGTCTCTGACCGGCAAAACAACTTAGACTCCTCCGGAACCAGGTCCCGCCCACTCTCTGGGCTTTCTGCCCTTTCCTGCAGCCTGGGTTCCCTACTCCAGCCTGTAGCCTAGCACCCAAGGGCTGACCACTCTCATTCTTCTAACAAACGCCAGGCCGTCTCCTGACACTTCTTGTTCTTTGCTCTTCCCCCCTGCCACACACACACACCCCTTGACTGGGCACACCCTATTTTAACCCAGGCCCCGCCTCCAGTGCTCACCTGCGCCGCCACCAGACCAAGCCCGAGGCTCCCAGTCCCAGCACAAGCCCTGCGCCTAGCAGCGGAATCAGGACCTTGGGATATTCGGACCCTGGGGGAGACCGTGAGGCAGGGAGGGATGTCGAGGTCAGGGGTACAGACCATAAGGTTCTACTAACTTTCCCGCTCTGTAAGATTCCGCCCCTCTTTTTTGTCACGCGTGTGTGTCCAAATTAAGTATCCCTGTGCATCTGGGCCTCGACATACCGTGAGTAGATCCCGAAGGCCGGCAACTTGCCTTGTCCCCTAACACTTGAAGCACTGTGCGGCTCTCATTCTCTTGGCGTCCTTTGCAGAAAAAGGTGCCAGAATCCCCGGCGCTCAGCAGCAGCTCTAGCCTCGTGATACCAGTGTCTAGGGAACGCAGGCGGCCGGAGAAGTGCTGGAGCACAGTTGGCGTCTCTTTCGTCGAGGCCCACAAGATCGGACGGCGCCCTTTGGACAGGCCCTTGCATGCTGGGAAACTAGGCGCCCAAGCCCAGCGGGTGGGATCAGAGACCCCTATGCAGGAGAGATTCACCCGGTCCCCAGGGTTGCCCTTCAGGGAAACTAGGAAAGGTAGGGGAGGGAGATAGTTATGGCTAGTTTGTCAGGTTCTCTCTCTCTCTCTCTCTCTCTCTCTCTCTCTCTCTCTCTCTCTCTCTCTCTCACTCTCTCTCTCTCTCTCTCTCTCTCTCTCTCTCTCTCTCTCTCTCTCTCTCTCACACACACACACACACACACACACACACACACACACACACACACACGGTGACCCTAGTTTGTCCCAGTCTTTCTTTACCCATCACAACTTCCCAGGGATGGCCTACCCTCGGGATTCCCCTGAACCTTTGAGAGCAGCAGAGGCAGCAGCAGCTGCAGGACCAAGGCCATGGCTGGGATGTGGTGGTCAGAGGCAGGAGTGAATCAGCAGCGAGACCGGAGGGAAGCAGAGGGGCAGGGATGGGGATCCTGCCGGACTGAGGGCTCAGATAAGAGCGAGCGTGAGGCCACACTTCTGGATCCCTCTAGGAATCCTCAAGCCACCATGCAGTCTTCAGACTTTGAAACTATATTAAATTCTGTGCCTGAGACCTTTTGCAAAGGCGCTATAGTTTTTTGCGAACAGCTAGCATGGCCCCAAAGTACCACAAGTTCTGAAGCTCAGCTTCCTGAGTTTGAATCCTGAGTTCATCCAGCCACACAGTAGCTGGGTGAGGTGAACAAGCCACTTAACCTCTTCCTGTTCCCTCATCAGGAAAGTGGAGATGAAACCATGTGAGAACCAAGTCAATACAGTGAGGGTGTCTAAAGCAATAGATGACATATGGGAATGCTCAATGTATGACATGATCATTATTATCTCTTATCTTAGTTCCTATCTCACCTCTGGATGCCTATGCTGCTCCTCCCTACCCAAGATGCTCCTCCCTACCCAAGGTGCTCCTCCCTACCCAAGGTGCTCCTCCCTACCCAAGGTGCTCCTCCCTACCCAAGGTGCTCCTCCCAAACCCAAGCCCAAGTGGGGTGAGGGCACCCTTGGCCTGTTGGTGTGGTCCTCCAGGATACACAGCCTCAGCCCCGCCTCTATGACATCACAGAAACCCTCCATGATGCCACAAGCCTTTCTTTATCTTCTGGCTGAGCATCATTTGGAAGACTGGGTAGGGAATGGATCTCCATTAATTCAGCCTGTTTCATCGATTTCTGCCGAAATGTCTGATCAGTGTCCTCCCACCCCCAGGCACCCAACGTTGCCGATCAACTCAGGCTACGACACACTGTTCGTTTCCCGGGAACTAGCAGAAGCCAGCCTTGCAGCTGTTTAAGTCACAGAGGCTTTTCTGATGCTCCTCCAGGGCAGGGGGCCCTCAGCTGGGGGTCCTGAATCCAAGATCCAAAATGGAGTTGCCCACTCGTGACACTTACCCTCTCCCATCTCCTTCTCCTGTCTCCCCTCCCTACCCAGGCCCTCTTGGACCCTTCCCACCTCTGGTCTTTCTCTTCAGTCGGCTGAGAAAAATTGGGAGGGAGGTGCCCACAGAGGGCAGAGGCTTAGAGGGGAGGAGTCATCGGGATTATAAATTCCCAAAAGACCGCTCAACTCTCAGAGCTGGATCCCTGGGAATCTTCTGTCAACTGCTAGGGCTGTGAACATTCTCAGGACCCTCACCATGAAACGCCTCCTCCTGCTCACCCTGTCTGCCCTACTCTACTGCTGGGTCTCAGGTGAGTGCCTAGGGGCCCCAGGCCCCACCCCAACCCTACCCAATACTTCATACTTCCCTCTACTCAGGATCCCAAAAAGTCCCAACCCTACCTGGTTTAGTCTCACCAGCGCTTCCAGGACCAGATATCTCTGAGCGTGGTGGGCTCCATGTTTCCTTTCCTTTCTTTCCTTACTCCTTTCCTTCATTTCCTCACTCCATTTCTTGTGTCTTGATTTGGCAGTCTCCTGTAGCCAAAGCTGGTTTGAACTCCTGATCTTCCTGCCTCTACCTCTTAAATGCTGGGATTACACATGTAATCCCACGTAGGCTCTTTGGTCCATTATTAAGGACCCAGGTCTCCACTGCTGTTTTCTCTTAGCCCCGTATTGGCCTGGCCCTCTTTTTTCACCTGACTTGGTACTAGGTCTCTTACTTCCCAGTGAGCGTGAGCCTTTCCTGCACACTGTAACATGTCTGCCTAGCCAGTTCCAACATCCAGAATTAGCATACCTGCCTTCGCTCACCACTGCCCTGAGCTGAGTGTCCTCACAGAAAGGATCCCATGCCACTCCATGGAGGTGCTTAGCGATGGTCCCTCTGGGAGGTTCCAGTGACTGTATACAGCCTTTCCAAGAATCAGAAACCTTCCCCAAGCCTTCTACGGAGGAGATGTCGCAGCACTTACCCTAAAGTGAGATGTGTTTCCTGGAGGCTATCTGGGCTCCTCTGGTCTGACTGTTCCTTCATGGACCTTTGGGTGCTCACATCTGGAGTTACCCAACCCAGGCATCCTGGTGTGCCACCCACTGTACCAACCCTCTCCATTCTTGTTAGATGTTAAGATAGGCCAATGATCCATCTGCCAGGTGTTACCCTTCGTCCATAGAGCGAGCGCCAGAACAGTAGAGGCAATTATTCAGGACTGGTTCTTCCCAAGCTCTTGGCAGAGGTCCAGTCCACTTTTAAAGCTGGCCACCGATGGCTTTCTTGCAGCTGCAGTTTCATGGCATCTCCGACTGCTCTGTGAACTCTTTAACTTCTCTCTTCCTATTTCAAGTGTCACCCCAGGCCCTAACCTCTACCCCATCCCTGCTTCTACATATCCCAGCCATCCTCGGCCCCGGGTTTTTGTTAGTACCACTCTTGACTCATCTCTAACAGGCTGGGGTGGAGGAAGGTATTTAGATTTCCACCTAGAACAAACACCTCTGCCCAGGGCCCACACCACTGTGCACTTTCGCCGTACTACTCACCTGTTCTGTCTCTGAACAAAGCAGGTGGGAGGCACTGCCTGCTTAATGTGGCAGTTCCCCATCCTAACCCCTAACTCAGCCCATCCTCAGGTGACTCAGATGTCCCATGACCTCAACCCAACTTGTTGTCTCCCCAGCTGACATTCGATGTCACTCCTGCTACAAAGTCCCTATGCTGGGCTGTGTGGATCGCCAGTCCTGTCGCCTGGAGCCCGGCCACAAATGCCTGACAACAAACGTGTACCTTGGTAACACCCTCTTCTCTGGGAGGGAGGGGCTGGGTGGGAGAGGCTCTTTGGGACTGAAGCCCACCCAGAGGTAGGACAGAGAGTTACAGCAGTGATGTTGTGTGTCTGGTCAAAGATGATTATGTGCTAGGCGCTGACCTGTGTGTCTACTGTGTTAGTGGATGCTTGTGTTGACCCCAAGAATGAGCGCTGGTCCCAGGAGGAGGGGCGTGGCTCATGCTCGGGAAGGATGATTAGAGTTTGAGGAAAGAAGAGTGAAACCAAGCAGGTCACTAGAGTAGCCAATGGACGCAGGCAAGCCAATGCCCACCGCTGAGCCCTTCTCCGTTGGCTCCTGCCTCTAGGGAAGATGTGGGTTTTCTCTAACCTGCGCTGTGGCACACCAGAGGAGCCTTGTCGGGAGGTCTTCAACGAAACCAACCACAAGCTCGGCCTGAACTACAACACCACCTGCTGTGACAAGGATAACTGTAACAGCCCGGCTCCGAGGCCCACGCCTGCGCTGGCCCTCATCTCCCTCACGTCCTTGGCTGGCCTTGGCCTCTGGCTATTGCATTGAGACCCCCTCCATGGCTACACTTCTCCCACCTGCTGTAGCCTGAAGCTTTCTCCCTGTGTCCTCAGAGCTCCAGCTTTCCAGAACGTTCTCTCCTCCTCACCCCTGGCCCTCCTGAAGATCCTTCTCCTAGTCCTATCCCATTGATTTCATGGGACTGTGCCTAGAGTGGTCTTCCTAGCCACCTCTCTGTTCCCTCACTTGTTACCCTCAGCCCCCTTCCTCCACCCCAAGTCCTTTCCCATTTCCTTCTAGAACACTCTACCTCCTCTACTGGCCACTGAAAGAGCTCCCTCCTCGGACACACACTGCTGTGCCTCTGAGATCTAGGTCTTGAAGAACTACTGTCTTGTCTCCAGGGAGTGATCCCCAAAGGACCCGCTGACCTCATTGCATGGGCCTGGCTCACCAGACCCTCTGCTCATCTCTTTCTATCTTGAGAAATAAATGTCAGTGTCTAATAAGCTTTGTGTTTAATTGTCAGGAGATATAAATGCTAATCTGGGCATGGTGGTTTTCCTCTGTAATCTCAACACCTGGGGGCCAGAGGCAGGAGGAGTTTGAGATCATCTTTGACTCTATAGCAAGTTCAAGGCCAGCATGAACCACATAAGATCCTGTCTCAGAAAGAAAGAGGCTGGGATGGCCAGGTGGTGGTGGTATACGCCTAGAGTCCAGCACTTAGGAGGTAGAAGCAGACAGAGCTCTGTGACTTCCAGGCCATCCATGTCTACAGAGGGAATTTTAGGACAGCCAAGCTATATAGAGAAACTTTGTTTCAAAAAAACAAAAGAAAGAAACAAACAAAAAAAACAGAAAAGAAAAAGAGAAAGTAAAGAAGAAGCAATAGCCCTAATTCCCTTTTAATCCTAGCACTTGGGAGGCAAAGATGGTAGGGAAGGAGGAGGAGAAGGGGGAGGGGGAGGGAGAAGGGAAGGGGGAGGCAGAAGGGGAGGAGGAGGAGGACGAGGATGAGGACGAGGGAGAGGAGGAGGGGGAGGGGGAGGAGAAGAGAGCGAGGTGGGGAAGAGCCTCTCCATGGAAATCTCACCCCCCAACCCCACCCTGTGCTTGCCTAAGAAGTCTCCGGGGAGTTTCGCAGAGGCTGGGCTGACCAAATGGAAGAGCAGGTTTTTCAAGCCTTGCTCCCTTCCCATACCTGAGGGTGGCACACTGACACCAGTGTTTAGAGAAACAACCCTTATCCTAAATTTAGACTACACCCTGCCAAGTAGCAGGTGCAGCCTAGCTTGAGGGTGTCCCAGAAAGGAAAGGTGTGTGCAGACAGAGCTGGCTGTTGTTTCCACCTCTGAGATAGCTTTCTAACTGGGTTATTCAAGCAACTTTCCTTTCTCAGTTCAAAATACTCCTTCCTATTGGGAGTCTGGTAACCCTCTGCTCAACCTTCCCCTCAGTTACCCTCAATGGGAAGGAAGAGTCTGCCTAGCTGCAGGTCCCAGGAGCCACTGAGGACCGAGTCTCCATTGTTTTGAGGGCTATCATTGGATCAGGTCTACGGATAGGTCCGATGGACTGTTGTTGACCAAACTAGAAGCCAGATAACCCATGTTTATCCCTTCAATCTTCTCAACAGAAGGTACTCAGAAGCTGGGAACAGTGGCACATGCCTTTGGGAGACAGAGGCCGGTGGATCTCTGTGAGTTCGAGGCCAACCTGGCCTACAGAGTGAGTTCCAAGATGCCCAGAGCTACCTAGAAAAACCTTGTCTCAAAAAAACAAACGAACATCCGAGTAGTGGTGGCTAACGCCTTTAATCCCAGCACCTCAACTCAAAGAATAAAAAACAAATAATTTTACAAATAGTCTCTAGAATAGTCCATCAGTTTTAAAGGCACACAACGGAGTGCTTGTCTTCTTACCTTGGATGCCCAGCTCCCTCACTCCCTTGATCCCTCAATCCCTTCCCTGCCCTCAGTCCTACTCTCCCGCTCTACAGTCCTGGCAAGAGCCAGGCCAGGGTGGTAACGACTGCAGCCAAGATGCACAACGGGGTCACGGAGCTTGCCACGGCGCCGTTGCAGAGATCTCCGAAGCAGCAGTTTTTCTGGGTTGTGAAAGTCACGTCTCCCACTGACTCTATGGCCACTTGATTGCAATGGTGCGTGGCCACGCAGGCTGGGTAGTGATGGCTCAAGGTCACAGAGGCTGGGAGAAAGAACGGCACTGGGGTGTTAAACTCCTGACTGCAGGACTTGCCTTCTGTGAGAGAGAGCAGTTACAACGTCCAGGGACTCAAAAGGGATATACTCTGCCCTCTCAAAACAAACAAAACGTACCTCTCTGAAACCAAGAGATTCGAGCCAGCAGGCTGACCTAATCAGTGATGCTAGGGTATCTCAGGAGCCCAGTACCACTCCTGTCCCAGCCTCACCATGGGAAAATGACAGCTAAATACAAAAGGGACAGTTTGTAACCCAGCTCTGTTACCTAAATGAAACAAAAGATGGACACACTGGTAACTGCTACTCAGTAGCTTGTAACTGCTACTCAGGAGGGTGAGGCAGAAGGATTGCCAGGAGTTCAAGGCCTGTCCAATTGACCCATTGACTTAAAGGGCTATAAAATAAGACCCTGTATCAACAAAACAGCAGATAGATCTGGGAATGAAACTCACTTAGTAAAATGCTTGCTTAGTGTGCACAAGTCTTTGATTTAACCCACACCACCAAAATACACCAAAATCAACAGGATGTGGTAGCACATGCAGTGCCGAGAAAGGAGGCTACCAAGGTCTAGGTCATCCTTGGATTTATAGCAAATTGGAGGCCAGCCTGGGAAATGTGAGACCCTGACTTAAAAATAAGTGTATATACATACATACACATACACATACACATATACATACACATACACATACACATACACATATACATATACATCTGGAGAGAAAGCTCATGTCTGTAACTCCAGCCCCAGAGAATCTAATATATTCTTCTCTCCTCTGAGGATACTCACGAACATGTGGCATACACTCAGACATACATACATACATACATGTTCATATGTAAAAATAAATTTTTCAAAAATAATAGTAAATTGGGGCTGGGGAGACAGCTCAGTGATTCAGAGCACTCAATACTGTCCCAGAGGACTTGGTTCAGCTCCCAGCACCCACTCGGTGGCTTACTATCACCTGTAACTCCAGTTCCAGAGGCTTTTACCCTCTCTCCTGACCTCCGCAGGCAGCAGGTAGGCCTGTGATACACAAACATACACACAGGAAAATACTCACACACATAAAATTAATTTTAAAATGTAAAAAAAAATTATTTTAAGCAAGGCCTGGTGGCTCATACCTGCCTTTAGTCTTAGCACTCAGGAAGTGAGCAGATCTTTGTGAGTTCAAGTCCAGTCTGGTCTATATAGTGAGTTCCAGGCCAGCCAAAAATACATAATGTTGTCCTGTTTCCAATCAACCAACCACATCAACCCAAAATACAAGCCAAATAAACAAAATAATTACTACAAATAAGTAAAATAAATAAATAAGAAATCAGTGGAATATCTGCTTTGAGCTTAGGCCAGGAAAAAAAAGATGTGTGTTCCACTGAATATAAGCCTAGGTTAATTAGTATAGAACTGTCATTTTCTGATCTCAGTAATGACACCGGAATGTTAGCACCTGAAGAAGCTGGGCACAAACAGGAACTCTGTACATTTCTTTTGTAATTTTCCTGTCAACCAAATGACTTCAAATAAAAGTATTACACACACACAGACACACACACACACACACACACACACACACACACACGCCATACCCTTTCCAGACCTTAGTCAACGCTTGACAGTTGAAGTTGAACTTTGGAGTTTGGTTTTAACGTTTTGCCTCTGATCTTAGGAGACAGCTTCTCACTAACAAGGGCTATGAGGGGCTGTATGGAGAGTAAAGTGGGAGCGCCTGCCGAGTGTCGGGCTTCTCAAGGCACAGCGCCAGGAGCCAGTGCCCCACTACAACAGTGGCACCATCTGCCCTAAGCCAGATTGAACTGGGAAGGGTGGAAACCAGCCGGATTGAAGGCGCGGGGGGTGGGGGGCCCGCGCCGGTTGGAAGCAACGGGAAGGGGGATGGGTGGACAACCGAGGACTCACATTGCTTGACTTGTTCCGAGCTGGGTTGAGGTTTGCGGTCCAGGAAGCCGCAGCGCTCACCCTCACCGCAGGTGATCACTGTCTGCTTGCAGGAGTTGCTGGGGCCTCCACCGCAGTCATAGCACCGCATGCGGTGTCCTGGCAGGAAAGAGGAGGGACTGGATCCGGCTCTTAGAGGAGTCCTAGCAGAGGGAAGGACGGGGCCTGTGCCTGAGGCACTCTTACTTCTTCCTTACCCAGGGCAGCCCCTAGCAGGGCGCAGAGCAGGATCCCGAGCAGCTGGGGGTTCATCACGTTCGCTTATGCCTGTAGCGCCTCTCCCTCCCTCCCTCCCCCCCTCAGGCTCTACTCCACCAGCCTTATATCCCCCTCGCCTTGAGCTTTATAGGGCAATAAACAGCGAGGAAAGAGTCTCCCCCAGCAAGCACCAGGGCCCCAATGGGTATAGGGAGGGGCCCCCATGGGTGGCCGTGAGCATCCTCTGAAGCCCCAACCCTCTCCACTTCGCAGCACTAGTTCCAGAATGGTGGCCCAAGACCCTCCCCCAGGGGGGCCCTAAACCCCTCCAGAAACCCAAGGGTCTTCTTTTTTCAATTGTCCATCCTCAGATGTTCTTGCTCATCTACATTCCAGACGGAATCCAGAAGTAGGTTATGAAAACCCAGCCACCTTTGATTATAACCAACATTAACCGGATTCTCAGAAACGTAAAACAGTACCATTCTCCTGTCTGGGTCGTCAGAGGGTAATTATTATTTTTCACAAAGCTATATCTTCCTAACATATAATATTTTTTTATTTGTTAAATGAATATAACCATACCTAATTATTCATTTAGCTAGCTGATTGTTGCTGGTTTTGAACTCCTGATCCTTCTGCCTCAGAGTCTCAAGTGATGGGATTACATGCATGCATCACCATGCCTGGCTTCCATACCAATTTTAAATGTCTATATACTTTATTTTATTGTTTTAAATTATATATACATATATGTATATAGTGTGTGTATGTGTGTGTGTGTTTGCTTGCTGAGGCAATCTTAGACACAGCCTAGGCTAGCCTGCCAATCAGCATGTAGTCCATGCTAGCCTCAAATTTATGACAATCCTCCTGTCTCAGTCTCCTCTATGCTGGGATTATAGGCATGTGCCATCACATCTGACTTCTTATTTTAATTTCTTTCTTAAAAAGACTTATTATATGTGAATAAACGTTTTCCCTACATGTAATGTGCCCCACGTGTGTGCCCATGTGTGTGCCCACACGTGTGCCTGGAGCCAGTGGAGGCCAGAAGAAGCACCTGGGACTGGAGTTAACAGTTGGTTGTGAGCCACCATGTGGGTGCTGGGAATCGAACCAGGGTCCTCTGCAAGAACAAAAGTGCTTTAAATTGTTGAGCCATCTCTCCAGCCCCCTTAGTCTCGTTTAAAATAGGATTTACTTAGGGCTGAGGGATAGATATCTCAGTGATAAGAACACTTGCTCTCTTGGAAGAACAGCGTCCTTTCCTAACACCCATGTTGAACAGTAGTAACTACTGCTCCAGAGGATCTAATGTCCTCTCTGGCTTCTGGGCTTCTGTACTCACATGTGTGTATCTATGCGCACACACACACACACACACACACACACACACACACAGAGAGAGAGAGAGAGAGAGAGAGAGAGAGAATTAAAAACAAGTTTTTAACAATAGTCATGTGTGGTAGTGAATGTCCAGAGGCAGGTGGATCTTTGTGAATTCAAGGCCAATCAGGTTGACATAGTGAGTTCCGGGTCAGTCAAGGAAAGCCCCCCAAAATAAGTTAATAAAAATGTATTATTTGTTTCCTTGTGAGTCCAGGTGAATGCATGCTGCCATGCACTTGTGGGGACCAGAGCATGACTGTGCTGTTGGCTCTCTCTTCCCACCTTTCTGTGGGTTCCAGGGTTCAAACTCAGGCCCTCAGCTTGTACCACAGGCACTTTTACCTACTGATCTATCCCAGGAGCCTGCTTATTTCTGATACGGTAAATATTTTTTCAAAGGTTATTTATTTATTTATTTATTTATTTATTTATTTATTATATGTAAGTACACTGAAGCTATCTTCAGACACCTATAAGAGGGCAACCAATCTCATTACAGATGGTTGTGAGCCACCATGTGGTTGCTGGGATTTGAACTCATGACCTCCGGAAGAGTAATCAGTGCTCTTAACCACTGAGCCATCTCTCCAGCCCCTGATATGGTAAATATTGATAGAATTCATACAAAGGAAAGTTCTGTGGGATCTCCAGTTATTTTCAGGGTATAGGTGCTGAGAGGCCCACCACCCTCTTCCTTGCCGTGGCGCTCTTGGTATTGGGAACAGAACCCAGGGCTACCCTGGAGTTAGATAAACCCTCTAAGACTACCTGTGCCCACCCAGTGTCTTAATCCCTAACCTCCTTCATAGTCACTGTCCCATCCTGGAAACCTATCCAGTCTTCCTTTCCAAGTTCTCCTTAGAGGAAGGACATACATCCTTCTAGCCCGGCTCCTGATTAATTCTTTCCTGCAACGTAGTAAAGCCAGGAGGGGTAATTATGGGGTAGCAATGTCGAAGCTTGGGATTGGGGGAGTGAATCAAAGGCATGTGAGCTGGGTGGGGTAGGGCCCCCCAACAGCTGGGCTTGGTGGGTGGGGTGGGGTGTGGGGATGGGTGGGTGGGCTTTGTTGATACCACACTCAAACAGGACTCTGACATCTAGGGCAGGGGAGGGTTCAAAGTGTGACCTTGAGAGGCATACACTCTCTGATGGGAACAGACAAAAACAAAAAACAAAAAAAGAAAAAAAAAAACGAAGAGAACCAAGAACAGGTTGAGAGCGGGAGGGAGAGAGGAGGCAGGAGGGAAGGCGGCAGACACAACTCTAGAGAGGCAGACAGCTGGGCCAAGTTAACAAACAGGGAGAAAACAGAAGACCCTCAAGGCAAGCATGAGCAGGAGCCTCAGGTGTGGGAACAGAGGGCTGTTGCATCAGGCAGGCGAATCTCTCTCTTCTCCACACCCCAGATTCTCTCCCTCGGTCTGTTGGTTTGCTGGTTCCTCCCTGTCTTGGGCAGGTGTGTCTGACTCGGGGTACAGATCGTGCCCTCCCAGAGTGCTGAGCCATTCCTGCCATGGGTCTGTCCAGCGCCTTCCTTGGCATCCTGTTCCTCTCGGGAACACTGGGTAAGGGACACTGGGGAATCCACAAGGAGCAGAGAGCTGGGACAGGGGCTTGTGCAAGGGCTGAGATGGAGAAAGCAAACAGAGCTGACAGAGGTGGAGAGAAATGGGGAGATTTTAGAACATTGGGAGTCTGAGGTAGGAGGCTCTGGACTCCCAGGCCAGCCTGGGCTATGTAAAGCTATGTCTCCAAAGGCCAGAGGGAGGGGGAATATTTGCGAGCAGCTGTCTGTTCCCACCGTTTGCCTCTCACATCCTGCTCTGTGTTCAGTGCCTTGGTCAAAGCCAACTCCTGTTTCCTTCTGTCTTTGGTACCATCTAATTCACTTTTGGGTCTCCCCTTCCTTCCTGTTCATGCGTCTGGCTTTTGCATCCCTCCCTCTTGCCACTCTCTGTTCCTGTCTGTCTGTCCCGGTCACTGTGTCCCTCTTGTTTCTGCCTGATTCTTTGCATCCTCTTTCTTCCTTAGCTATTTTATATTCCTGTCTGCTTCTTCTGTTTTATGGCTCTCTCCCTCCTTTGTGTGTCAGCTCTCTGTGTGTCCCAGAGGTCTGGACTTTGCCTCTTACCTTCTCCTTCCTGCCTTGATCTCTGCTGACCCAACAGGTCTCACCACTTCCCCAACCAGAGGACGGCTCCACTGCTACACCTGCAGCTTTGCCAAGCCCTGCTACCCTGTTCCCACGGAGTGTGGGGAGGACGAGGTGTGTGGTGTCAGTGTTGGCACCTCAGGTAGGACTCTGGTCCGATGGCCCTTCTTGAGGTGGCTCTTCACCTCTCTTTTTTCTGCCCGTTCCTGCCGCCCGAACCTCAGCGTTCCTCTTTTGTCCCACAGAGCAAAATGAGGTCATCGAGCGGAAAGGCTGCCTCCCAAGAGCCCAGTGCCCTCTGCTGGGCCATACGACCTACTGGTCACGGTCCTACGCTCTCCGGCACCAGTGCTGTGAGCAGAATCTATGCAATGCCGCTGCCTCACAGCGACCCCTCAGCCTTCCCCTCACGACTCTGCTACCCCTTGCGACTATCTTTGGCGGGGGAGTACGTATCTTCCTCTAGCCCGTGGATCCACGGCTGTCAACCCAGGACTCCGATGTCACCATGGACGTGAAAATTCCTGCACAGATGTTTTGAGACACACTCAAGAGTATGACTTTGTATGAAAACCTCAGCCACCTAACCCAGAACCTCTATAGACCCGGTTTCTACAGCCAGAGTCCTGCCTCCCGCATGCAAGTGTCCAGAACCTCACCTCGTAAGAGACTCCTGCTGTCTTTAAGCCTAGATGTCCTAGGTCAGCTACCCTAAATGAGCTACGGGGTCCCAGGCAAAGGGACAGAAGTGTCCCTGGGGCTGGTGAAAAGTGGAGTAGTACCAGGGGACATCTAGCTTGGTACCCAAAGGTCTTAAGAACAGAGGGCTACCTTGGGTAGCCATAAAGAGTGTATTTAATAAAAGGGCTATTGGGTAGAGGTATAGCTCAGTGACAGAGTACTTGCCTATCTTACACAAGGCCCTGGGTTCAATCCTCTACACCATAAATAAATAAATAAATAAATAAATAAATAAGATATAAAAACAGTAAGAGAGCTGTCTGTGAGCCTGGTAACGATGCATCTAGTGTATTGGTGAAACACACGAGTGTGCACTTCAAAAATGAACTACAGCAGGCAGAACAGGCGGTTCCCTGAGAACCAGCATGTGCAGTGTAAGCACAATGCTGTTTTGGATGCAGGCAGCCACTTTAAAAGCTCAGTGACTAAGAGCAGAGGACCCGAGGTTCAGTTCCTGGTACCAACATGGTTCACCGCATCTGCAATTACAGTCCCAGGAAATCCTGTAAACCGGCCTCCTCAGGCACTGAACAAATGTGGTCCAGAGATGTACATGGAGGCAGAACGCCAACACACATAACATTTTTAAAAATTAAAATAAAAAGCCAGGTATAGCCACACACGAGTGCTTGTGACTCTGGTGCCAAATGAGGGGCAGAGACCGGGATCTGTGGGGATTGCTGGCCACGAGCTGGCCACGAGCTGGCCACAAGCTGGCCATGAGCTGGCCACGAGCTGGCCATGAGCTTAGCTCCGTGATAGGACCCTGTCTCAAAGGAATAAGGACATATGATATCTTCTGTGTGTACATGTGTACTTGTATGTATACAAACACACACAGACACACACACTCATATGAACAAACAAGAATGCTTGGTAGGTTGGGCTGCCACATTCGACCCTGAATGGTACTCCCTGACCCCAGTTTCCATTTGTGTGGCTGTCGTCTTCTCTCCTGCCAATACCTGAACTTAAGCTGCTGTAGTTTGTAGGCTGCAGGCAACGTCCAAGAAGCCTGCTCCCTCCTTTGAGAGCCAAGCTTGAACCAAGAGTCAGAAGGGGCACCTGGCCAAGCTGCCTGTGAGGGGCCTGTGGTCTGGAGTCCGGCTTCTTCGGGAGCATTGACACCCTCTTTCACTTCCTCTGTTTGGACAGCCTAGAGGTACTCACTCCACGAGGGATGTATCTGCTAACCCTTGTGTATGCTTCCACTACCCAGGGAGATAGAAAGGGACCAGTGGGTTCGAGGGTCAGAGCTCACAGTGAGTCAGAAGTGATAAGCTGCCCGTAGAGAACCACAGAGGAGCATATGTGTGCCTGGGATAAGGAGGACAGAGCTCTGGGGTGGGGGTGAGGGGCTGAAGACAGACATTCCCTTTTGGGCTTGGTTCCCTCCTGTTCCGTCTGAGGAAGTCTGGGGCCTGACTAAAGAGGTCTTGTTCCCTCTCAGCTTCTCTTTGTGAGAAGAAACATGGGGAGGGAAGGTCAGATTTACTTGGAAACCCATTAAGTCTTCTGTTTTCTCTGTCTCTCACATCTGCGGTTTGGGGCTGCTATTTCCCAGACTCTGCATCTGGGTCTGTCCACATTTCTCTCCCTTGTTCCTCCCCACACGTATTTCAGCCTCTCCTACGACAGATGCCACACCATTTCTCATGTCTCTGGACTCTTCCTGTCCCTCCTGCCAACAGATCCCCAGACCCCATAATACTCCCTCCTCACTCTGAGTCACTGCTGCGCTGGCTGCTTTGAGACAGGACACCACGACTTTTTTTTTTTTTTTGTAGGTGACATCACAGAATGAAGTTACTCCCTTCCTTACATTGTCCCCGCCCCCACCCCTCCTCCAGCTTAGTGGCTGTTGGAAACCTAGTAGAAGTCACACCCTCATCCACCCCTTCACCAAGGTTTCCAGGGAATCCTTCAGGTGTCAGTGGCCGGCAACACAGGGCTGTTGGTCAGGCTCTCCGAGGTGGATGTCTCCGAGGTCATGTGGTCTTGTGCGTGGGCGGGCTGAAGAGTTTGCAAAGCCAAAAGCTGTGTTAAATCTCCCGGGCTTTCTCAGGAGCCGGCACCCCCATCTACAGTCCAACCCCAGGTTCCAGGCAACGATCTCTCATGCTCAGCCCCTCTGGGGTTTAAGGCGCCATCCCCTGTTGTTCCTTACCTTAGCCGGGCCAAGTGGATGTTCTCATACACCTGGACTTCAGGTTTGAAATGAGGAATTGAGGGTTCTGGGGGAAAGAAACCATGCGATGTGATATCACCAGGTAATTCAGGGGTATGTTCCTTGCCACTCCTCCCCTAGAGCAGACGAAGTCTAGAGTGAGCCTAACCCTTTGCCTCACACCCAAGTGACCTCTCTGGGAAAAGACTCACCTCTGTCCTGAGACCCCTGGGTCCTCCGCCGCCTCCAGATCACTATGCTGAGTGCTATGATGGTGACCCCTTGGCCTGCTGTGAACAGCAGCACCAGTACCCAGGGCACATCCCAGCTTGGGAGAGGGGTACAAACAGTGGGAGAAGGTTCCTCGGAAGCTGTCGTAACAGCAAAAGAAGGATGACAGGCAGCGCCCACACACACACACGCAAATATCCACGCGCACATGCAAATCACACACATGAAAATAGAAAAAGAAAAAAAAAGAGGGCTTTAGAGTTTGCATTTCTCCAGTTCCTTATTCAAACGTCATCTTCTAGGCCTTGCTGAAACCTTTCTGTCCTGACACAATGGCTGTTCGCTCCCTCTCTCAGACTGATAACTGGGTTATTCTCCATTGGGTAGCGTTCATCTGAACATAATGGCCTTTTATTTCGTATAACAATTATAAGCGTTCTGCTTCTGCCTTCTCTATCAATAGACCATTATACCGCAGTCTATGCGACCCCTTCTTCAGAAGTCAGCATCCCAGAAATCCCTGTGCACTTCCTCTCCATCATGGAAAAGTCCATACAAATAATAGATCAGTCTGTTTCTTCTATTTGTTCTTGAGACAGGGTCTCATGGAGGCCAGACTGGTCTCGAACTCTGGTGTCAGCCTTCTGAGTCCTGGGAGGCAAAATACATGCTTGGCTTATATTCTGGCCTATTTCTTGTTTCTTTTCTTCCTTTCTTTCTTTCTTTCTTTCTTTCTTTTTTTTTTTTTTTTTTTTTTTTTTGGTAGAGTTCAGGAGAATGGGAGTACAGGGCCTGTCTATATATCCCTGGTTGGCCTAAAATTTGCTATGTAGACCAGGCTGGCCTTTAACTCAAAGACATTGACTGCCTCTGCCTCCTGAGAGCTAGGATTAAGACACTGGCCTATTTCTTTTCTCTCTCTCTCTCTCTCTCTCTCTCTCTCTCTCTCTCTCTCTCTCTCTCTCTCTTCTTTCCTTCCTTCCTTTCTTTCTCTCTTTCTTTCAGATTAATTTATTAATTTTATGTATGTGAGTACACTGTTGCTGTCTTCAGACACATCAGAAGAGGGCATCAGACCCCATTACAGGTGGTTGTGAGCCACCATGTGGTTGCTGGGCTTTGAACTCAGGACCTCTGGAAGAGCAGTCAGTGCTCTTAACCACTGAGCCATTTCTTCAGCCCAGGCCGGTTTCTTTTATTACTTTGATGATTTTGCTTATTTTTAGAGAAGCAGGATCCCATGTAATGCAGGCTGGCTTTGAACTCACTATATAGCGAAGGCTGTCCTCAAACTTTTGATCCTCCTTCTACCTCCCACATGCTAAGAGGTATGTGCCACTCTGCTCTGCTTAAATCAGCCTATTTCTTTCTTGTGTGTGTGTGTGTGTGTGTGTGTGCGCGCGCGCGCATGCCTGTGTGTGTATTCATGTGAGTATAGGCGTGCAAGCACATGCCTAGTGGCTGGCAGACAACTGCCGGTGTTTTTCCTTAAGAGACATCCACCTTATTTTGTGAGACAAAGTTTGTCACTGGCCTAGAGCTCACCAAGCAGGCCAGGCTGGCTGACTTGAGAGCCCCAGGGGCCCGTCTGCTTTGGTTTCCCTAGTGTTGGAACTACAAGTCTGCAGTCATCACGACTGGCTCTTTTTTGTGACTCCTGAGTTCAAACTCAGATTCTCATGTTTGTGCTGCAAGCACTTTACTTGGCCGGGCTCTCTCTTCACCCCTAGATGAACCCCTTTCTAAACAGTGGTATATCCCACCAAAGTAGGCCTTGGTTTCTGGTCTGGTCTGGGAAAGCAGGAAGTTGGTTTAATCAACTATTCTTTGTGATAAACTTGGTCACTGAGGGGGTTGGGGGAGCCTTCCCCTGTAGAAAAGTGACCCTCTAGTTACTGGCGTGATTTGCCTTCTTCCCCAACTTTGAGAGACGTGCTGGAGAGAATACCCTTTTCCATTCCCTCCGCCATTTTACCTGCCAGGCTAAAGCTGAATCTTTTGTTCTGAGGCATCAAGCAGCGGATGTTCCTTGGCCTTCGGCCCCTGGTCTCGGGAACCCCCTCTGTGGGACATACCAAGAGCAGGGCAGCCCCTTCTCCCCAGAAGTATTGAGCGTGTCCTCTCACGGGATTCCTTCCTTCCTGCCAGGTCACCGAGTCCAGACGCCTGGCAGGGACCACAGAGCACAGGAGGGCTGAGCAAGAGGGGCCATCTGGAGACGTCACAGAGAACTGGGATCCTGGCAAGAGAGAGGGGCTCCTCAGTTCCTCGTGTGGTTTTCCCTAATCTCCAGTGTCCAGAGAGGTCTTCAGACTCCAACTCACCTTTGAGAACAGAGACATCATACACCCTCCAGTTCTGGTACTTGTGGTTCTGGTCCATCACAGTACACCAGTACCGCCCGGCGTCTTCATCTCTGGACCCCTCCAGCAATAGGGAATAGTTTCCGAGGAGTTTGAACCTGGAATCAGGTTCAGGTTTCCCAAGGTCTGAGACTGGCCTGTCTACTTGGACCTGGGCTACCAAGATGGTAGAGGAGCCTGGTACAGGGCTGCGGAACCAGGTTAGGAGCTGACCCCCAAGTAGGGAGGGGGGCGAAGGACATGGCATCTCCACTGACTCCCCTGAGGCTACATAGATGGTCTGGATGCTGTCTGTGGAGAAAGAGCACTGTCAAGGCTGTCCAGGCCTTCAGCAAGCCCCTGCTTTATCTCTAACTCCTGCCTTCCTTTCCTTCTGGGGTCTCCCATGCACCGGTGAGCACACATTTCTCCAGTGACTGGTACAAAGAAAGGGAGGCAGGCTGGGAATGTAGCTCAGTCGGTAAAGTGCTTGCCTGAGGTTTTGGATAGCTGGCAGAGTGTTTGCCTAGTGTGCGTGACTTTGGTCCCCAGCATGGCTTAAACCCATAAGCTGAATGTGCAGTGCATACCTGTGATCCCAGTACCCAGAGTCAGGATGATCGGGAGTTCAGTGCCATCCCTCGGCTGTTTAAGGGGTTCAAGGCTACCCTGGGATACACAAGTCCCAGACAGACTTGGGGAGGGGAGGGAAAGAGTGGAAAGGCTCTCTGTCTCTCCTTGGCAGTGAGAAGCTCTGTCTGGGTCAGGATAGAAGGAGGCTGCAATAGTTGGTGACATCCCTTATCTCTTCACATAGTGACTCATCTGTTTTTCTCTCCTGACGGGAACAAAGCCAGGTAGCACACAAGGGATACAAGCACTCGGGAAGCTGAGGAGGAAGGGTTGCACCATATAATAAATATATTATATATTTATATAATAAAATGTATAACAGCCAAGGCTGTTATAAAGCAATACTCTGTCTCAAAACAAACAAATAAGAATAAAGTAAGGGGAGCTGGAAGCTGGGTATGGTGACGCACATGTAGTCAAAGCGTTCAGAGACAGATAGAGGAGGGAATACTTGAGCTGAGAGTTCAAGACCAGCTGGGCTTCTGTGACTTTTCTCATTGATTTGACAGAAATACCTAGCTAAAGCAACTTAAGGGAGTTAAGTGAGTATATTATTATTATCATTATTATCATTATTGTTATTATTATTATTTGGGTTTTCAAGACAAAATTTCACTGTGCAGCACTGGCCATTCTGGAACGCTCTGTATGTAGACCAGGCTGTCCTCGAACTAAAAGATCTGCCTGTCTCTGCCTCCTGAATGCTGGGATCAAAGGCATGTACCACCACTGCCCTGCTGGAAGTAAAATTTCTTTTGACTCATGGTTTAAGCCTATTATAGCAGGAAATTTATGGTGGCCGAAACAGGCTCAGAGCAGAGAAAGGGAAATGCCTATACTGCACTGGCTTTGCCTTTTCCTGTTTTTATTTAGCCTATGACCGCAGCCCACTGGGTGGTGCCACACACATTCAAAGTCATGTTTCCCTCCTCAGGTTAAATGTAGTTGAGGACTACCTGGATCGCCTGATCTTGCTGCTATCTCCTCCCAGGTTCTGGAATTACAGGCATAGCACACCGTGCCAAGTTTATGTGGTAATAAGGATCAAACTTCTGGCTGGAGATGCACCGAGAACTCTGCACCTGCTAGGCAAGCACTCTCTGAGCTAGATCTCCAGACTCAATGTTTATCTTTTTTTTTTTTTAAACATGGGAAACTGTATATAACCTAGGCCCATGGTTCCTCTGGGTCTCTCCAGGATTAAAGGCAAAGAATGTTTAAGCAAGATAAGTCTGTCTTCTTGAATCACGTGCGTTTGCAGGAGCACTCAGGAGAAGCAGCAGCATTACCTCACAACCTCTTAAGTAGTTGCAGACCCCCCCCCCACCTCCTGCCCCTTACCTGCAGCAGCCTGGGGTAGCCCACACAAGAACAGAAGGAGGAATACTACAACTGCCATGGGGAGAGCTTGCTAAGTTCCCCTGCTCCAAAGACCTGCTGTTTCCATGGAGGAAGCAGAACGCAGATAAAGGCCCACAGTCCCTGGGGTGGACCACTTGGCCTCTGGAGACATGAGAATGTGGAGAGATAAAACTCAGTTGCATGTCATCTGGGGGAAAGGGAACTTCCATCTTTCTGTTCTTGGAGTCAGGTTCTGGTACAAGCTGCTCTTGTGTGGAAGGAATCCCAGATACCATCTTCTTCTCCACCTAGAAGTCTTCTGTAGCTTCTCGTCTGTCCCCAAGACATCAGCCAAGAGTCAAATGACGCTGACTGATCATATCCTTGGCACCCAGCATAAAACTGTACATCCAGGCCATAAGCGATCTCAAATGACTGTTCCTGTGGTTACCTGGGATATCAGAGACCGTCCCAGAGCCCCTGAGGAATGTCTTCAGCTGTTACTCAAGGAGAAGCACAGCAGGGACCTGGATTATTCATGGGTGCCCGGGCACAGAAGCAGATCTTTATACACTTCTGGTTGATTATAATGTGTTATTTAAGTAGTTAGTTTCTTTTTGGCTTTTTCTTTTTCTTTTCTTTCTTTTTACTTTTTTTTTTGAGACATATTTTCAAATTGTCCAGGTTGATTTCAAACCCACTGTATAGCTAAAAATGACCTTGAATTCTTGACCATCTGCCTCCCGGGGTGTGAGTTGACAGGAGTGCATTATTATAAACACCTAGTTACGCATTTCAAACACGGAGCAAGTTATTTGCCATAGAGTTATATACTCCACCATTAAACTATTTTCGTCTGGGCTGGTGAGACGGCTCCAAGGGTTTTGCCTTTGCCAACGAGCTTAGCAACCAGAGCTCAATCTTTAGGCTCTACATGGTGGGAAGAAAGAACTGGCTCTCCCAAATTGTCCTCTGACCGTAAGACAACATACAATGTGCCGGCAAGTTTTCAATGTCAACTTTACATGGAAAAACAAATCTAGTGGTGGCGCATGCCTTTAATCCCAGCACTTGGGAGGCAGAGGCAGGCGTATCTCTGAGTTCGAGGCCAGCCTGGTCTACAGAGTGAGTTCCAGGACAGCCAGGGCTACATAGTGAGACTCCGTCTTGGAGAAGAAACAAACAAACAAAAGCTAGGTGGAGCCCTAACAAAGCGTCAAAGTCCAGGTTACTGTTGCTGTGATGAAACACCACGACTAAAGCAACTTGAGGAGGAAAGGGTTTATTGGGCTTACGCTTCCGTATCATAGTTCATCAGTAACTCAAGACGGGAGCGCAAGCGGATCAGGAACCTGGAAGCAGAAGTTGCCACAGAGGCCATGGAAGGTTGCTGTTTACTGGCTTTCTCCTTTTCATTGTAGAAATGCATAAGAACAGCATAACAGAATCAATACGAGGCTGTCTTAAAATCCCCTCTGCCAATGGCATGAATCCAAAACTCTCAGACATGCAGGCTGTGAACATATACGGATACATACACAAATGTAATTTTAAAATATGCGGGGGGAGGGGGGAGCGGTGATTTGGTGTGGTGGTGATGCATGCCTTTAATCCTAGGACTTTGTTCGTTTTAAGATTTATTTAGGGCTGGAGTGCTTTCAGTGGTTAAGAGCACTGATTGCTCTTCCAAAGGTCCTGAGTTCAATTCCCAGCAACCACATGGTGGCTCACAACCATCTGTAATGGGATCCGATGCCCTCTTCTGGTGAGTCTGAAAGCTACAGTGCACGCATCATATACATAAAATAAATAAGTAAAATCTTTTTAAAAAGATTTATTTATGTTTATGTATATGGGTACTCCACCTGCTTGTATTTCTGTATGCCACAAGAGGGGATCAGATCGTGAGCCACCATGTAGTTGCTGAGAATTGTATGCAATATCTGGAAAAGCAACCAGTGACTTTAACTGCTGAGCCATCTCTTCTGCCACTAACCGTAGCACTTTGACCGGGGGTTTCTCTATATAGCCCTAACTGGCCTACAACTCACTACACATGTAGACTAGGGTAGCCTGGAATTCAAGAGACACATCTGTCAACACACCTATCTCTCTCTGCCTCTCCAGTGCTGGGATGAAATGTGCACACACTAGACCGGGCAGATTACTTCTTCCAAAAACTTGTTTTTTAAAAAATAGGATTCTTCAGAAGAATCCTGGTATTTCTTCTAATGGATACATCCCTAGACTCTCTGTCTCTGTGTGTGTGTGTGTGTGTGTGTGCGTGTGTGTGTGTGTATCCCAGAGCTTTCAGCATGCTAGGCAAAGTGTTCTGTTCTTGAGAGCACTAGTTTCTTTAAGTTCTTGTCAAATGCTCCTACTCTCACCCGCGATCGTTCCAGAACATGCTGACATTAAGGGACAGGGGGTAAAAAAAAAAAAATTATCCACGCCGGGGCATTCATTTTCTTAACTCTCGCCGTTCAGAACAGCTCTGACTAATTGCAGATCGTCACGGAGCATAGCACCAACTACGCGGAACACACCTCTCCGGGCGAGAAAATCAGGCCGGACCCTGCCACGGGGCAGAGCCGGTACGTGCTGACGTCACGCACGCACGCACGCACGCAGCGCCCAGGAGGCTACGGGCGGGGCCGGCGGGGACCTGAGGCCGAGGGACAGCGGCCCGAGCCGGGGCTATGGCGAAGCTGCTGAGCTGTGTCCTCGGCCCCCGGCTCTACAAGATCTACCGGGAGCGGGACACGGACCGGGCCGCGTCCAGCGTCCCCGAGACTCCCACTGCCGTCCCCGCCGCCTCGTCCAGCTCCTGGGTGAGTCGAGTCCCCCCTCCGGCGGAGAGCATGGTACGGTCCAGACCGCGCTGGGCTGCGCTCGCCCGGCGCGCCCACTGTGGGAAACGGGGGAGCCCGCTTGTCAAGCGGCGGTCGCGCAGTCCGCCTGTGGGCGCCTCCCGGCTCCCTCCCAGTCACGCAGGGCCGGGCCGCCGCCTCTTTACGGCTTTGGAGGAACTCTTCCTCACGCCCACCACCACGCTTGCTTTTTTTTCCCCTCCGCGTCCCCCACATGGGCTGGACCCGGTTGAGTCTGGAGTCCCCTGCGCTCGCTGATGGCTTTTGCCCACCTACTCCCAATGTCTCCCCCGTGCTCTGTTGACTTTTTCTTTAACCTGACTTTTCAGTTTCAAAGATGACTTCAACACGTCGTGTATCCGCTTTTGCTCCCTGTACCCCCCGAAACCTAGCCTGAAAACCAAGATGTTACATTCAGGGTGGTAGTGTGCCCTCCAGATTCTTATTTTTATTGGTTGCAAAATATGTTTAGGAGCTTTTCCAAACTGTCCACACTTAGCCACGTTTCTTCCCGCATCGGCTTACGTCAAATGCTATTCCTTCCCTCTTAGAATTGTCATGGAGTCTCTCATTTTCGCTCTAACTCCTCTCCCCGTATCCACACAATCATATCTGTATCCGGGTTTTCCAAATGCTGCTTTCAGTTTTGCTTCCAAGCCTAGCACCCTTTGATTGTTTTCAGGGTCGGGGTGAAATGTCAGGCGAGGGGAGTAAGCTTCAGTAGAAGCAGGGGTAACCCGAGAGAAATGGTCAAAGAGGCTAGAACCAGGTGGCACACGTCAGGGTTTCTGGAAGGGAGGAAGGGCCTGTCAAACTGGCAAGGTCCTTAACCGGCCATCTGTTTTGGCAGGATACGTATTATCAGCCTAGGGCCCTGGAGAAACATGCCGACAGCATCCTGGCACTGGTAAGTCAGCTCCAGCATCTGCCAGTCAAACCCAGCCACTGCCTCCTCCTTATTCCTCTCCAGCCCCGCAGAAGGCAGCCCCCCAGGAGGCGGGGAGCACTCTGGGCTCTGTACGGCAGAACTTGCACAGGGGACCAGCATATCCCAAGTGCATACAGTTGCCATTCTCCCTTACATACCATAAGCTTTTTCCGGAGCAGTTTGTGCCCTGAGGCTACCACATTTACTCTTGGGACCATATGCAGGTCTCTGAGTCCTGCAGTCCCCAGTGACCTGTCCTCCCTGGCAACTCTAACCCCTTTGGCTGCAGAGACAGCTGTTCTCCCTGGCAGAGTTCCTATGGTGATGTTTTCACATCTCGTGGGGACAAAGCCTGGGACTCTCTTGAGTGGAGCCAACTGCGACGGCTTGATTAGCTTGAGTAGACAGAGAGGCTGGTGTTTTCAGCGTTGACAACACTGTGTCAGCCTCAATTATTGTACTCTTGACACACTACGTGGCAACAAACGTTTGTGTCCCTACTGCGTGCATGGTGTCAGAGCCCAGGCCTGGAAAGGGCAAAACCATGTGTGTGTGTGCGCGTATTGACAGGCGTATTGGTTGCCTGTCTCTGTCTCTGCTGCAGGCTTCAGTCTTCTGGTCCATCTCTTATTACTCCTCCCCCTTCGCCTTCTTCTACTTGTACAGGAAAGGTCAGTGTGCTTCCAAAGGTGGGGGGCGAAATGGGCAGGTCACTGGCCAGTGAATCCACTTCCCGAAGAGAAGGGGGGCGGTCCCGTGAGAATGGCGTGTTTGACTTCTGTCTTCTACCAGGACCCTTCTTCCTCTAAGCCAGTGGCTCTCAACCTCCCAATGCTGCAACCCTTTAACGCAGTTCCTCGTGTCATGTGATCCCCCAACCATAACATTATGTCATCCCTACTTGATAACTGTGATTTTGCTACTGTTACGAATCGTAACACAAATATTTTCTGGAGATAGAGGTTTGCCAAAAGGTTCCCAACCCACAGGTTGAGAACCGCCCGTCTGATAGAATGGGTAACCAAAGAGGGTGTGGCTCGAGGTTGTGGGCAAGCTGGGGAGAACCGCTTTCTCATAACTGCCCCTCTTCCCTCCCAGGTTACTTGAGTTTGTCCAAAGTGGTACCGTTTTCTCACTATGCCGGGACATTGCTGCTGCTGCTGGCAGGGGTGGCCTGCCTCCGAGGTAGGTGGAGAGGAGCCTAGTTTGCGTCTGTGACTGGATAAACGTTAGGTACTTTCTGCTGACAGAGTTTAGTGTGGGGCCCTGTAGGAAATAATCAGTCTAAGGTGTGAGCACTTCCTCAGGTGGCTCACATGTGCATAAGCAGTGCACAGGAACAAGAGAGTCCAGCACACACCACTTAAATCTCAGCTGGAGGCCGCAGCAGTGGCTGCAGACTGTAATATGCACAAAGGTATCACACGGTGTAACCACGCTGTGGGCACTGCAGATCACAGGCCACCGTCGGGTGGAAGATGTTCGGTGCTCACTCACAGAAGGTTCAAAAGAAGCATGAGTGTGCGTCCTGTATCCCAGCATGTGGGTAAGAGTGAGGTAGGAAGTTCCAGGCCAACCTGGGCTACACAGTGGGACTCTTGTCTCAATCAGTGAATAAGTGTGTAAGCAAAGGTCATGTGTGTGATGAGACCAACAAGGCAGGGGCGTGGTTCTCTCAGAAGCTACTGGCGGGTGGGGGGGGGACGCTCCAGTGGGAGGTGGCTCTGGTTGTTGTTTAACTTTATATCCAGACCATACTTCCCCTCCCCCTCCCCCTCCCCTTCCACTCCTCCTTTTCTCTTCAGAAAAGGAGAGGCCTCCCATGGATATCGACCAGCCTTGGCATATCAAGTTGCAGTAAGACTAGGCTCATCTTCTCCCATTGAGGCTAGGTGAGGCAGCCCAGTTAGGGGAGAGGGATCTAGAGGTGGGCAATGTAGCCAGAGACAGCCCCTGCTCCCACTTTAGGAGTCTCCCATGAAGACCCAGCTGCACAGCTGTAACATTATGTGCAGAGGGCCCAGGTCCATCCCATGCATGCTCTCTGGTTGGCAGTCCAGTCTCTGTGAGTCCTGTGGGCCTCGGTTAGTTGATTCCGTAGGTTTTCTTGTGGTGCCCTTGACCCCTCTGGCTCCATCACTCCCCCCTCCCTCCCTTCAACAGGATTCTCAAGCTCCACATGGTGTTTGTCTGTGGGTCTCTGCATCTGTTAACATCAGTTACAAGGCGAAGCCTCTCTGACGACAGTTACGCTAGGCTCCTGTCTGCAAGTGTAGCAGAATGTCATTAACAGTGTCGGGGTGGGCTCCCTCTCATCGTTTGGGTCTCAAGTTGGACCAGTCATTGGTTGGCCTTTCCCTCAATTTCTGCTCCATCTTGACACCTGCACATCTTGTAGGTGGGACAAACTGTAGGTCAAAGGTTTTGTGGCTGGTTGGTCTGCCAGTGTCTCCATTGTCAGTCATGGCTGGTTACAGGAGATGGCCAGTTTCATTTTTTTTTTATTAATGTGTGTGGAGGTTCGGGGGGATTGTCTCTGAATTTGCTTACGTGTATCACGTGTGCAGATGGCCTCAGAGGCTGGCGGACGTCATATAGCCTGGAAGCTGAGTTGTCGGCATTTGTGAGCCAACTGGTGTAGACACTAGGAACCGAACCTGTGTCCTCCGCAAGAGCCATCTCCACAGCTCCTTGCTTTTATTGTAACTGTATGTCATCTGTGGACAACAGGACTGTAGGTGTACCCCACCACACCCTGCTGCATCTGTATTTTGGCATAGATGTGAGCACTGCGTGAAACACTCTGAGTTTGATTGCGTCCTTCTCTCAGTATTGCGTTGACGCTCTGGAGATCCTGGCTGTTCCCCTTACCCTCATCTCATGTTTGCTGGTTTGTGAGGGGAGTGAAGAGAAGAGAGGCATCAGTCCTGGTCCCGGGGTCGGCACCAGGGGCAGGGGTTCGGAGCATGCAGAAAGCCAGCTTGGGAATGCCTGAAGCAGACAGGAAGGAAGCCCACTGTTAGCAGGGGAGTAGTAAGGCTGCAGACTGTTTTAACATGGGGGAAGACGATCTGCAAGGTAAGAGACTTGCTTGTTCACAGAGAAAGAAACTGCCAGGCCACTCAGCCCTTGGGAGGCTGAAGCTGGAGAATTGCTGAGAGTTCTGGGCCATCCTAGCCTGTATAATGAATTGCAGGCCAGCCTGGGGCACGGAGTAAAACCCGGTTTCAAAGACAAAACAAAAGAAATAACTGAAGCAGGTGCCGGGTGTGGTGTGGTGGTGCATGCCTGGAATCTCGGACTGAGAGACGCGGGAGGTTAAAGCAGGTGACTCTTGGGCCAGACTTTATGACATAATAAGCTCCAGGCCAGCTAGAGTGACAGCGAGACCGAGTTTCAGACAGAAACAACAGCAGCAGCAGCAGCAGCAGCAGCACAACCAAACCAAGCAAACAACTGAAAGGTCTGGTGAAGCGGTCGAGCAGGTGAACGTGTTTGTTGCACAAACCTAGTGACTTGAGTTTGATCCCACAGTGGGAATAGAGAGCTGGCTCTTGAAGTTGTCCCCTGATGTCCTCATTCCTGCTGTGGCACTTGTATGCCCACACACACACACACACACACACACACACAGACAGACACACACACACACACACACACACACACACTATCATAGCAATAATGCTAATTAAAACAATAAGCCTGAGACTCAGAAGAGAACCACAGCAGCCTGTTGCTGTGTAGGGAAGAGAAGTTCTGCTTCCCACGTAAGAGGCCCTGATTCCTCTTCCTCCTTACAAGGCCTCCTCTTCTTTTAATTTCTAGGCATCTGGCTTCCTAGTTTACCTGATAGTTTTCTCTCACCAGGCATTGGCCGCTGGACCAACCCCCAGTACCGACAGTTCATCACCATCTTGGAAGCCACACATAGGAACCAGTCTGCAGAAAACAAGGTGAGAGGCTCTAGAGAGGGCACCGGTGTGAACCCTGCTGCCCAGGGCTCCAGGCACCAGCGTCTGTGCGTCTGTCTCTGCTGCACACTGCAAGTGAGCTGTCCTTCCTGTTTCTAATGGACACTTTGCTAGAACATTCCTCTCCTGCTCTATTGCCATCCTCAAGAATTATACAAACACAGAAGCATCTACAGTCTTGAGAAGAGAAGCTTCTGTCCTTGCTTCTTTGCAGGCCTCCGATACCACGCTGGCTTTGTTTGGGGATGGGAAAGATGGGCAGGTGCATCTCTCCTGTGCCCAGCAGCAGAGGGTGCCAGCGGGGCACAGTGTCCTGGAAGCTGGGCCAGGCCTGCTGCTACTGGAGAGTGATTATCTTTGAGATGGGGCCGTGAGGCCTCATAAAGTTCCTTCCTGGTGTGGGGATCAAACAGCCTTGGTCACTGTGGCTGCACCCTGGTCATGCTGCACGGCCAACCACTTACAGGGCTTCGTCATTACACTCTGCGGGGTGCAGGGCACTGTGTGGGCTGCACACCCTTTCCAGCCCTCTCACCACATGAGGCAGCATAGTGACCCCCGCTTTTACATCTGTGGAAAGAGCGAAAGGGAGGCCAGGCGACCTTCCTCAGTGAGGCAGTGTCCGAGGGCAGCACTGGGCACAGGCCCAAGGCGAGTCCAGCTGAAGTGTGCCTTGCCATTTCATTTCATTTTGTCATTTACATTTCTAGTTTTTTTTTCCTTTCTGTTGCTCATTCTTAAGTTATTTTTGAAAATGTCAAAAGCATTTCTGTGGCAAAAAAATTATCCTCAAAATAGAGACTGTGGAGCTGTGGGTGTGGGGAGGACAGTGGGTTAGGAAGATGCAGCCCTACTGCCTGCAGCACGTGGCCCAGTGCAACATGGAGACACGGGCACAGACGGTTAACCGGGTAGCCCTGGCTCTGGATGTCATGAAGAGGGGAAGGGGGGTGGCTATGTGCACAGGGCTGTAAGAGAGGAAAAGAACCTACTGTGGGCATGAACGCCTGCCTCTCAGTCATGGAACCACCAATTTGGTCTGCTGGTGTAAATCTATCTTTTTCTCCTTCTTTCTTTCTTTTTTTCTTTCTTTCTTTCCTTCTTTCTTTCTTTCTCATTATTTTTTCCCCAAGACATGGATTCTCTGTATGGCCTGTCTGTCCCGGCACTCTCTCTGTAGACCGGTGGGGAGGGTCATATAACCAGCCAGCACCCCTCCCCGTCTTCACACAGAAGCACCGCCCTTGAAGTGGATCAGCCTTAGATATTTCTGTGTTTTGGGTTTTTGGGGGGTGTTTTGTTTTGTTTTCCAAGACAGGGCCATGCTGTGTAGCCCAGGCTTACCTAGTGTTTCCGGTGATCCTCCTGCCTCCAGGGTGAGGTCACAGAACCACGCACGACCCGTCCTAAAAGTAGGATCTCACTCCACATCCTTAGCTAGACTTAAATTTCAGTATGTATCCCAGGCTGGCCCCAACTTGCAGTCCTGCCTCTGCTTCTGAATGGTGGGTGGATGGGCATGTGCTGCTGGGCCTGACCTTTAACAGTTTGCTGGTGACATTGGGACTTGAAGGCAGGATGTTGTGTTTATAACAGTTTGTTGGTGGCATTGAGAATTGAAGCCAGGACATTGTGCGTGCTGTTCAAGGACCCTACCCCAGCTTTGGATTTTCAGGGAGGCAGGGTTAAGAGTCCCAAGGTGGGTGGATGAACTGTTGGTGAGAACAGCTGCCTTCTCCCAATACTGAGGTCATAGCAGATCTTTCCATGCAGAGGAAGAGGGTGCTGACCTCCACTTGGTCTCCCTGTGATGTGGGGGCATCCTGCGCAGTGAAGGTGTTGAGGGTAGATGGCCCGGCCTCCCCTCTGCTCTCAGTCCTCCTTTCCTTTGTCCTCTCTCCACAGAGGCAGCTGGCCAACTACAACTTTGACTTCAGGAGCTGGCCAGTCGACTTCCACTGGGAGGAGCCCAGCAGCCGGTGAGGTCCAGCTACTTAGTTCTTCCCTTCCTTGGCATCGTCAGACCTGGGCCTCCTGCTCCTGACTCTGTTTTTCTTCCCCTCAGGAAGGGGTCCCGAGGTGGCCCTTCCCGAAGGGGTGTGGCCCTGCTTCGTCCAGAGCCTCTGCACCGGGGAACAGCAGACACGTTTCTCAACAGGGTCAAGAAGCTGCCCTGTCAGATCACCAGGTAGGAAACTGGGGTGTGGGAGGTCAGCTGGGGTGAGGGACACAGACCAAGGCCCCTGCGTTGTGAACTTGGATGCAGAGTAGCTATCGCTTGTGAGGCCTAGTGCTGTTTGCTGTGTGTCTCCTGTGGGGAAAGGCTCTGCGAGGCCCAGGCCTCAGGGGAGTACTTGGAGAACCAGAATGCCAGTGGGCCTACTGCTGCAAACCTCTCTGCATCTGAAGGGAGCAGAGGTGCTGCAGTGCAGAGAAGGCCCTGACGGTTACTGCACAGCTTCTCGTCCTTTGCTTATGGCTGTGTGGAATTGTCCTGATCCCTCTGCTCCTTGATATCCCACCTCTGCCCCGCAGTGCCTCAGTTTCTCCATCTAGTTAGCCTGCCTCACTGGGATTGTTGAGATGATGAACTGGTAACACTTGGAATGGCTGTGTCTTAAGGTTTTATTACTGTGAAGAGACGCCATGACTACAACAGTAGCTCCTACAAAGGACAACATTTAATTGGGGCTGGCTTTCAGGTTCAGAGGTTCAGTCCATTATCATCAAGGCAGGAAGCATGGCAGCATCCAGGCAGACATGGTGCTGGAGGAGCTGAGAGTTCTACATCCACAGGCAGCAGAAGGCGACTGTGAGCCACACTGGGCATGGCTTGAGCATGTCGGACTTAAAGTCCATCTCCACAGTGATGTACTTCCTCCAACAAGGCCATACTTTCTAATAGTGCCATTCCCTGTGGGGGTCATTCCTAGTCAAATCACTATAGCTACCGTTTTTTATCTGCCTGCCAGCAAACTCAGTCGTGGGTGCTGATGGTGTCAGACCGGCCTTAGACTCACAGACACCCTCCGGCCCCTGCTGAATACTCACCCGTACATTGCAGCAGATGCTGGGACCGAGTAGTAGGGTCTAGAGCACCAAGGAGGGCGTTTAACTTAGCTTTGGGTGTTGATGTACTGGATTGGTCCAAAGGGAAAGCAGACAAGGTTTCTGAGGGCATGCTGGCAGGGCGAAGCAGTGCGGTGCTGGAACACAGCCTAGAGGCTAAGCAGTTGTCCCCAGCAGTGCCCACCCCATCTAACCTATCTGTATGAGTTCACATGCTCGGGAAATATATGTCGAGCTCCTTGGACAGCTCTTATGTGGTAGGCATTGTCACCATAAAGATAACAGCCAGGTCTCTGCCCTGACAAGAATGTGACCCAGGGTGGTATCTTTAGGCTACAGATCTTTATAGAAGTATTTTTGTGGGTGGGTTTTTGTTTTTGCCTCACCCTTTCTTTCCTCTATTGGTCCCAAATAGAAGACACAGAAACCTGGTATTTTTATTAACGGTTGTAAGCCTCAGCTGGGCAGGTTCTGAGCTATTATAACCCAGACAGACTATTAATGACCTCATAAATACCCTGTTACTTGTCAAGTGAGTCTCACCCGGCTTGTTCTGTTCCGTGTGTGTCCTCAGGACCAGCTTCTCATAGTCCAGCCTGCCTCGTGGCGATCTCCTCTCTCCTTCTCGTGGTCCCTACCTGAGGCCCCTACTCACTCTCAAGCCCCGTCTTCCTCTCTCTGCCCAGTCACAGGCGCCAGCTCTTTATAATCCAGAGATTGTGGAGATTTCCTCATAGCCCAATGCAGTGTCCATGTCTACACCGCCTGGTCTTGGGACACAGGCGTCAGCATCCGAGTACACCAACCCCAACAGAGCTTGACCTATTGCTAATTTTTTTTATTTTTTGAGCTATGTCTTCATGCAGTCCAGGCTAGTCTTGAATGCACAGTGTAGCTAAGGTTGGCCCTGAGCTCCTGATCCTTCCATGAGCTCAGAGTGCAGGTGTGCCCTCTCACGCCTGGCGCTATTCGTCTGGAAATCACTTTAGTGAGTTCCAAACTATTGTTTTGTTTTCAGTGGTGCTGGGGACAGGACCCAGGGTTTTGTGCACACTCGGCAGATGCTCTACCATTGAGCGGTTACCACCTGGTCCTATCTGAGGACTTAGATGCTTACATACAGTCACTCATGTGCCACGGCACGCTTGCGTCTCTCCTTCTCCCACGCAGAGCCTGAGGCCTCAGTGAGCTCGGGTTCTCGGCCTGGAAGCAAATGTCTCTACCCAGCAAGCCATCTTGTTGACCCTTAGAACTTTTAATAAGTTGTATTTTTATGTATTAACAGAATGATATTTAATAGCTGTATCTATTGTACCTAGAAATTATCTCATAAAACTCTCAAAATTACATCCAAGCAGTCTCTAACTTGCTATAGTTTGAGTTTTGGATTCTTTCCCTGGCCTAGTGATGGGCAGCATGCTCCGTGTGCCAGGCAGGGATTGTGAGCCACGGCCCCCACCAGACCCTTTGTAAGTCTCGGAGGATCTGTGTGATTGTATGGTACAGTAGAAAATGGGTTTGGTTTGGTTCACAGTGCTGGGGCTCAAACCTGGGCTCACACATGCTAGGCAAGCACTCTGCCACCCTGCCGAGAGCCCACTGCTAAAGTGGACATCTTCTAGTAATAGTTACGGAAAAGCTCAGGAGCTGCCAGACTCGCCTTGGTCACTGAGCACTGAGAGAGTCTGAGTGCAAGGGCCCCGCCGGGGTTGGGGTTCACTAACCCATGTTCCCCACAGCTATCTGGTGGCGCACACCTTGGGGCGCCGGATGCTGTACCCAGGCTCTGTGTACCTGCTCCAGAAGGCCCTCATGCCTGTGCTGCTACAGGGCCAGGCCCGACTGGTGGAAGAGGTGAGGCCCCCTTACCTGCTGCTGGCCCCACCCTCTGGGATGTGGCCCCGCCCCTCATGACCGGGTCTTCCATCTCTCTTGCGCAGTGTAATGGGCGCCGTGCAAAGCTGCTCGCCTGTGATGGTAACGAGATTGACACCATGTTTGTGGACCGGCGGGGGACAGCTGAGCCCCAGGGGCAGAAGCTGGTGAGAGGGGCAGTAGGGACTCTGTGGCCGCAGTGCCACGGAACCTTTCCTGTGGAGCCACAGTTAACAATAGTGTCACTGTCCAGCTCCATACAAGGACCTGATGGTAGTAAGGCTCTGCAGGGCGTGGGGGGGTGGAGCTCGGGGGGTGGTCTAAGACCTGCTTTTAGTGTGCGTGGAGCCCGGGGCTGCACCCCAGCCCCATGTACACTGAGAATTGGATTGTGTACTTGTAATCCCAGCACCCAGGAGTGGAGAGAAGAGGATCAGAAGTTCAAGGCCAGGGCCAGGGAGATGGTTCAGTGGGTGCAGTATTGGCCGTGCAAGTGAGAGGACCTGAGTTCTGATCTTGAGAACCAGTGTAAAGCCTGGCATGGTGACCAGCTATAGTCCCAGCACTCCTGTGGGAGGGAGGCAGGAGAATCCTTGGGGACTACCTGCCAGCCACGCACCACAGAGATCCTTCCTCAAAGTCGGAGGCGATGGGCAACAGTGGAGGCTTTCTTCTTAACACCACACATGCTCTGTAGGTCATGCATACATGCGTGCACGTGTGTGCCCATGCCCGTGCGTGCACGCTCGCACACACACTAGTGCATTCATACACGCACACACAGAGTTTAAGGTCTTGGCTACATGATGAGTTTGCAGTCAGCTTGTGTCTCAAAAAAGTAGTAAAAGTTTAAAGATGAGAACGTCGTAGCAGACTGGGGATGTCACTGTAGCATATGCAGCCCAATGGGAGTTTAGTCACCAGCACCAGAGTAGGGGGAAGGACTGGGTATCTGAGTTGGGGTGTACAGAGCCTGCCTAGTGCTCAGGAAGCCAGGAGTAGTGCACACTGCTGTTCCAGGGATGAGCAGGCCGAGGTGGAAGGCTCCGATGGTTAAGGTGATCTGACACACAGTGAGTTCAAGGCCTGACCAGGACAAGCAGGACCCTGTCCTACAGCAACAGACAGTAGACAGGATGGGGATGCAGGAGGCCGAGGCAAGAGTCTGAGTTCCAGCCCACCCTGAACTACCTAGTGAGACCCTGCCGCAAGGAAACAAAGAACATTGACACATGCAAGGCCAGCCCGTGGGTCTGTTTGTGCACTCTACAGTCAGGGTGATCTGCAGAGTCGGTGCTCTCATGGCTAATAGCCCAGCTCTTAAGGTGGCTCTGGCCTGAGGAAGCACTGCCCAGGCAGCCAGGGGGCTGGGCTCTGCTGCTGGCTCTGCCATCTGCCACTGTCCCCAGGCTTCGGCTTGAACACCATGGAGGGCAGTGAGGAGAAAAGTGTCTGCACACCCAGGAGAGTCACAGGCCAATGAACATGGGCTCTGGGTTCCACCTCAGCTGTCCCCAAGTCCCCTCATCCCATTCTATTAGTCTCCTGGTGGGATCTCAGGGAAACTGGTCACTGTGCTGGTGGCTTGGACTCGGGCTCCGTGGTCTCCTGAGGCCCTGTCCTGTAGCACCTGCAGTCCCTTCGCCCCTTGTTGTACAGACTGCCCCACCCCAGCACCCTCCCGCCCTCTGCTTGCTCCCAGGTGATCTGCTGTGAGGGGAATGCCGGATTCTATGAGGTGGGCTGTGTCTCCACGCCCCTAGAAGGTAAGCACAGGACTTAGCCTCTGAGCTGTGCTTTGGACGTGAGTGTGTCTCCTCCCATGCTGGCCTCCCCAGGCCTGCCCTCCAGTGCAGCAGGGTGGGGTCCACGGCTCTCACTTGGGAGGGACCGCCCACTCCCACTCGGTTGACCATGCCCTTTCTTGCCTGGGCTTAAGGGAACCTGTCCTCCTGCCCCACTACAGTCTCATGACCCGTCTGCCTCCTCCCTGTGTTACAGCCGGATATTCTGTCCTGGGCTGGAATCATCCAGGCTTTGCTGGAAGCACGGTGAGACCCTCTCTGAAGACCTGTCCTTTTCCAGAATCCTGTGCATCTTACTCTGCTCAGCCGTGGGGAGAAGGAGACTGGTGCCCGTTTCTGCAGGCCTCCCACATGCCTGTGGCCTGGGTGCTGGGGAGCTGCAGCCCCTCCTCCCATGGCAGTCAGGGACACAATGGGTCACATGATCTCTGTGTGTTACAGGGTGGCTGCAAGAAGGGTCCACACTAGGTGAGCTGTCTTCTGGCTGACCCCTCCTGCTTCTGCCCGTCTCCCTGCAGGGGGTACCATTCCCACAGAACGAGGCCAATGCCATGGATGTGGTGGTTCAGTTTGCCATCCACCGCCTGGGCTTCCAGCCCCAGGACATTGTCATCTACGCCTGGTCCATTGGAGGCTTCACTGGTACCTGCCTCCCCTGCTTGTCCCTGCCCAGTAGATACGGGCACAGGCACGGGTGGCTCCCAGGAGGGGGTGGAGGCTTTTAGAGAGAGGTTGGAAGTGGGTAAGTCTACATGAAAGGACCCAGTCCTATTCCCTGCTCTGCTCCTAGCCACGTGGGCAGCCATGTCCTACCCAGACATTAGTGCCGTTATCCTGGACGCCTCCTTCGATGACTTGGTACCCTTGGCCTTGAAGGTCATGCCGGACAGCTGGCGTGAGTGCAGCTCCCCCAGGCTAGTCCTTCCCGGGGAGGGTGGCACTCGGGCCTCTGATGGAGTGCAGTCATTATGTGGGTGGAGATAGGCCACCCCATGGCCGAGGAGTGGGGCTTCCCGGCCTGGTGGACAGTGGGGCCTTCATCTCTCCGCCCTTCATGGTGTCCCACTCTAGGAGGCCTGGTCACCAGGACTGTGAGGCAGCATCTCAACCTCAACAACTCGGAGCAGCTATGCAGGTGAGCGTGGCTGCAGCGTCCTGGGGGGCTCAGGTGTGCTAAAGGGAAGTGTCAGCAAGTGACCCTGCCACTACCCCAGCTGGCCAAACCCTTCCCGGGTCTATGAGACCCTGAGTTTACTCACTCATGGTCTGTCAGTGAAGGGTTAGGCCTGGCTACCAGGGCTGGACTGAGCCTGTGCCCTTCTTAAATCTGTCACTCCTGCTCAGCCGCGGCCTGGCTCTCTGAGCTCCCCCTCCCTGCCGCTCTGTTCTGAAGGTTCCAGGGCCCTGTGCTGCTGGTCCGGAGAACCAAGGATGAGATCATCACCACCACGTGAGTGCTGGCCTCTGCCTTCTCTCCTGTTTGTCCACCACGGATGGACCCAGCTTCCCCCAACCTAGGGTAACCCTTGTCGCCCCCAGGGTTCCCGAGGACATCATGTCCAACAGAGGCAATGACCTCCTGCTGAAGCTGCTGCAGTTCCGGTGAGCTCTGTGGGAAGACACACCTCAGTGCTCACACCATCGAGGGGAAGGACGAGGTGGGGGCCAGGGTGGAAACTGGTTCCATTCTGTCCTGCCCTGTGTTCTTCCCAAGGTACCCACGAGTGATGGTGGAGGAGGGGCTCAGGGCTGTGAGGCAGTGGCTGGAGGCGTCCTCCCAGCTAGAGGAAGGTGAGGTGTCCAGGGGCTGGAGGGCAGGGGCTGGCAGGAGAGTTTGCTGATGGACCCCTCTTTGTCCCCCAGCCTCCGTTTACAGTCGCTGGGAGGTGGAGGAGGACTGGTGCGTGTCTGTGCTTCGCTCCTACCAGGCAGAGCACGGGCCTGACTTCCCCTGGAGTGTGGGTAAGGAGGGGCCGGCCGTGGAGGGCACAGGAGGGAAGGATGTCCCAGGTGGGAGCTGAGGGCCTTTTCTCCGTCGTCTGCAGGGGAGGACATGAGTGCAGACGGACGGAGGCAGCTGGCGCTGTTCCTGGTGAGCTCAGGCATTGGGTGAGGGGAAGGCCTGCAGGGAGAGGCTTACCCAGAGCTCATGCAGGATCCTAGGGTGGGTGGGTGGATGGGTGGTTTCCAAGGGGAGGCTCCCCTGCACTTACCTGCCCTGCCTTTCTCCTCAGGCCAGGAAGCATCTACACAACTTTGAGGCTACACATTGCACCCCACTCCCAGCCCAGCACTTCCAGATGCCCTGGCACCTCTAGGGACCACATCTAGACTCTTCTGGAAGGAGACACGAGGGGGATACTTTTGTGACTCTGTTGATGTTGCTGTTCATAGTCTGGGCAGTGGGGCGTCCCCTCTGACCACTTCCTCCTGCACGGCTCCCTCATCTGCGTGGACGCACTGAGCTCTCCCCATACCCGCCTGCATTAAATGAATGATTTATTCCTAATAATTAATAAAAAGGTATTTTTTCTACAATCCGGCCGATGGTGAGCTTTTCCAGATGTCCCATAGCAAGTGGCTTGGGCAGGGAGAGCATCAGCCCTGGAGGGTGAGGCTTGGGAAACCCCTCTCAGAACAGCTTTATGTCTCTGCCTCAACCATCATGCACTGAGCCCATCATCCAGTCCAGACCCTTGTGTGCTGCGCCCAGTGTTCACCCAGCTCCATGGCTCTCCGTGCGGCTGCCCAGGAGGCGGGTCGGAATGCCCCTCCTTTATAACTATACTTGGTGACGTACAGTTCTGCCTCCAGCTTCTCTCCTGAAGGGACTTCCCCACCCCCCATCTTCTCTGCTCAGCTCTCCTATGTCCACTAGGAACAGGGATTGACTCCTGCAGCAAACCAACCCCATGCCTGTCCTCGCCCTGACACCAAGTCTGTCCATATACCCTGTTTGCAAGTCAGCAAACGGCCAGTGGGGCTGAGGGCTAGACACCAAGCTCTCCTGTCCTCCCTGCGCCGAGCCTGAAGAAATCGGATCCTCACAACACGTACTCTGATCTTCAGACCTGTGGGATGGAATGACAGGCTGGCCGCCTTCCCTTAGAAAGTCAGGTGAAATTACCGCACCTCCACTGCCTGGGCCACTGTTGTTACCAAGGTGCTGAGCAAAGACATCCGTGCTTTGTGCAGACTACAGCCTCTGACCCCCATGTGTGACCCTCTAACCATGGGACAGAGACAGTGTGTCTGTCAGCTCAGCAGCTCAGAGTGACAGTGTGCTGAATCTTAAAGAGGAGGTGGGCTGAGATAGACAGGTGATGTGACTAAGGTTTGAGGTTAGAAAAGAGGAGACTGCCATAGTTCCTGAGTGTTCTGCCTTTGGCAAACAGCTCGTATTGGTGCCCACTCCGCTTCACCCAGGAGGCAGTCAGAGTGGGATGTGTGTAGCAAGAACCTACTCTGGGCAGAGCGTGGTGGCATCCACTCAGGCAGAGGCGGGTCTGTCTGTTGTACATAGCAGTTCCGGGTCAGACAGGGCGACTTGAGTGAGACTCTGTCCAAAGAAAGCCAAAGCGAGTGTGCTCATGAACCTTATCCTGCTGTCCCAGGCTAAGTTCCTGGAACTAAGTCTGTTCAGTCAAGGGACCCTTAGGGGACTCTTAGCTCCCCTACCTTGGAACACAAGAGCGCCCCCTTCCCGGACAGCCATCAGGGAATGTCACCCTGCCACCACCTTCTAGGACATAACGGTACAGATCAGGAGGAGCCCTTAGGTATCTTAAGAGGATGTGGGAGGTAGTTGCTCACTGTGTGGCTTGTGGACGTCCCCACCGGGGCTGTAGTCTACTACAGATCACTCACTCTCCATGTCGCATAACCTCAGGGTGGGCTCTGGCTGGCTGCCTGTTTCTCACCCTATATCCTAAGGCTCAGAAAGCTGAGGCAAAGTCAGCTGACATGCCCCTACCCCAGCTACTAGGGCTCTGGGTCCTGCTGCTCTAGACACTAAGTGGGGCCTCCCTGATACCCAGGTGCCTGGGAAGCTAGGCCGATGGAGGGGAGAGGGGAGGTCATCTCTGGAAGGAGAATATATATATATTATGGGTGGTCCCTAACCCTGGACAAGAACACATCTTACCTTACTGTCACTGACCAGGGTCTAGGCCTGCGCTGTTCCCAGAGTAGGTTGAAGATTTACTCCAAGCCCCATGATGAGAAAATGTTTCCTCCAAAGCTGTCAAAACAAAGCAAGGGGCCTGGAATAAAACGCCCTTGACAGAAAGCTGGGCTTCCACTTGTCTGACCATCCATCCATCCATCCCTACCTCCTTATGAACTTATTCATTCACATTCAGTTAAAGCCTCTGTTTCTCTGAGTGACTTTCCTCACAGAAGCTGCCTCTCCAACGCTGTCACCAAGGCCTGCCCCTTGTGTATGTATCTTTCCTTATCTGTAATGTTGCACAGTCTGCCCTCAGACCCTGCCTATTTCATCCCTTGGCTGTTCACCTTCTGATATCCCTTGTCACAAGGCCAGGCACTCAGCATGGATATGGTCATCTGCTACTGTCACTGTGATGACCATTGCAAAGCCCTCTTTACCTTAGGAAAATCTGCAGGGAAGCTGTCGTCATAGAAATGATCGGTCTGGGCCATGGGTTTCCCCCCTCCCCAACAGCTGACAGAAAAGAAACAAGGGGGTGGGGTGGGCAGGAGATGATTCGGAGCCTCCAGACCACCCAGAGTTGGATTCTCAGCACCCACGTGGTGACTCACAACTCCACACCACCTTCTGTCCTTTACAGGCTCTGTGCACATTGTCTACAGACACACCCATGCGTATAAACTTTTAAAAATTACTAAAAAAGAAACAAGGGCTCTAGACATACACCAAAGAAAGGCCCGTCATCCCCTGAAACATTTCCAGGGCTGTGGCCACCCTGTGTCTCAAGGCTCTGACCTCCAGAGTGACTCCTTTGCAACAGGGACTCCACCTTTGCCGCTTCAGAGTGTGCCCTGAAGAAGGACTCCTGATCTCTGTCGCGATGTGCTCATCCACTCAGCAGACATTTGTATCTTGCGCCAATGGGTGCCGGATACTCCCCCAGTCCTTCAACAACGTTTTAAGTTTCATTTCGGTTTTCAGAAGCATAAACCCCTAGCCCCTCCACTTCCCCCCATCCATCTTCCCCTGAGATGTGATGATTCATTCATTCATTCGTGGAAAGTTCTTACAGTATGGGGCGGGGGGAGGGAGGGGGGTGTGCACTAAAGCAGGAGGTGTCTTCTGTAGCACTATTCGGCTTAAAGAAAAAACAAAAGCAAAGTCTCAAGCCCTAGGGAGAAGAAAAGGAACAAGCAAGCTGCCCAGCACTGGGTCCTGGCCGGGAGGGGGGGGGGGGCACACAACCATGCATCCTCCTCAGGATGTGCTGTCAGCCGTGGAGGGGGACTTGGAGCACTCAGTCTGTGGGCGTGGAGACGAGACACACTGACCTGCAGCCAAGCTGCGCTGTACACAGAGAAAGGTGCTGTGGGACATGGTCACTTCTTTGTGCAAATCTTCCCACTTCTCTCATCTCACGTTCTGGTTCTGTCTGACACCAAACCTGCCCATCAGTTTTAATCCGAAATCTACCATAAAGCTCATCGTTGTGGCCCCGGTCATCCCAGTATAGGGAGACTGAGGCAGGAGGGTCAGTTTCTTGGCAGCCTGGTCTACTCAGGACAGATAGGACTACAGAGCCAGAACTTGTCGAGAATATTAATAATAATAATAATAACAATAATAATACCCACAATGTTTACCTCTATCCATTCATAACAACTGTGTCATCGCCTCGCTTCCAAAATCCTATGTCGCCATCTTATGACTAAACTCAGGAATTGCGCTCTGGTCTGGCTTCCACCCTGTGCTAGGGATTTAACTTAGGTCCTTGATGGCAGGTCACACAGCTAATATTCTCCCCCCTCCCCCTTGTTCATACTTTCCATCTGTCCGTCTGTCCGTCTGTCTGTATCATCTATCTATCTATCTATCTATCTATCTATCTATCTATCTATCTATCTATCTATCTATGTAGTCTTGGCTAGACTGGAAGTCCAGATGTAGACCAGGCTGGCCTCAGATTCATAGTGACATCAGAATTAAAGGTGTGTCCCAGCACACACTGCTTATTTTACTTGTTGAGACAAGTTTACCCAGAGATCGTCCAGGCTCCTTCTGAACTCACTGTAACTCAGTCAAGTCTTAAACCTGCAGTCCTCCTGAGCCTCTGAGTAGCTGGAGACAGGCCAGTGCCACCAGGCACAGACTGGCTACCGCTCTACCCTTTATTCTCCAGTGTGCAACAGAGGCAGAACTTTATAAAACATCTGGACACATTACCTCTCTGCCGAAATCCCCCTGCCCTGGTGTCCCTGCCACACCCTGCCCTTCCCACCCTTGCTCAGGTGTCCCTGCCACACTCTCTCCTCCTCTTCATTGCTTGCTGCCTTGCCTCCCCCGTTAGACTTTCACCAGAAAGAGCGGAGTCTCTGTACACCTAGTTGTATCTCTAACACCTGAGATTCTAACATCTGAGATTCTAACACCACTATTGCACTGAGCCAATAGTGTCAAGTGAGCAGCGTGCTGGTTTGTCTGCTCAACACAATCTAGAATCAGAACAGAATCTCCATGGGTAATTATCTTGATTGCATTAATTGAGGTAGGAAGATCCTGCCACTTAGGCTGTTCGAGTCCCTAGGAAGGGGATTCAGAATTATATAAGAGTGGAATCAGCCAGGCTGGAGAGATGGCTCACAGGTTAACAGTACTTGCTGCTCAGCCGTGCAGGTGGGAACTCTGGCTCTAGCAGATGCGGTGCTCTCTCTTGGCCCTTGTGGTTACCCACATACACATGTGTGTGCATACAGACACACAAACACACAAACCTGGAGGGGGTCAGAGAGGGTGAGCAAGCACCAGCACGCATACACTCAGTGCTCTGGACTGTGGTTGAAATATGGCCAGTTCTCTAAAGTTCCTGGTGCTGTGACTTCTCTGCCACAGTGGACTGTGACCTGGAATAACAAGCTAAAAATAGCCCCCGTTTGCTGAGCCTGGTGGCACACACCTTTAATCCCAGCACTCAGGAAACAGAGGCAGGTGGATCTCTGAGTTCGAGGCCAGCCTGGTCTATGAAGTGAGTTCTAGGACAGTCAGGGCTACACAGAGAAACCCTGTCTCAAAAAACAAACAAACAAACAAACAATGATGATGACACTGATAACGTCAAAACAAATAAAAATAAACCGAGTCCCCCCTTGGTTACCAGAGCATCGGGAAAGGGAACAGACAAACAAGTCATTCTGAGTCCCTGCCTCCAGCCAGGATATTAGACCTGAGGTGCAGTGGGTTGAGGACACTCTGAACTGCCTGTTCTGGTACTGTTCTTCACCTCAGACTGTTGCCCCACTCCCTCCTCTTGGCCAGCCTCTCTCCAACCAATATAAGCCCAGGCTGGAGGCTGGAAAGAAGTCATGGTTTTCATGGCGGGCCCTGCAGCCAGCTGCTTCCTAAGGCCCCTGGGACTCCATGACGTCACCCAAGCCTTGTGTGCTGTTCTCTTGACCATCCTGGTCATGATGAACTTGGTTCTTAGCAGCAACGGTAAGTGGCTCCAGAGCAGGGCTTCTCCACCCTCCTGATGCTGTGACCTTTAATACAGTCCCTCATGTTGCGGACCCCCAACCATAACATTATTTTTTTTTTGCTACTTCATAACTGTAATTGTCTACTGTTATGAATTGTAAGTTAAATATCTGATATGTGATCCTTGTGAAAGGGTCATCTGGCCTCCAAAGGGGTCGTGTTCCACAGGTTGAGAGAAACACTGCTCCAAAGGGTCAGAAGGGTCATCAGGCCAGCGAGGTGGAGAAACTCTGTTTTTTTTCCAAGGGTCTGGATACTTCTGTCCAGAATGGACAGATGAAACCAGTGTGTAAGGGAATGTCCAGGAACTGTGATGGTCTGATGGTTACCCCAAAGAACCATTCTCGGGACAGCCTCATTGCCGTATCAACAACAGTGTTCTAGAAATACTGAAGGGATCTTCTCCAGCAGAATAGGGAGGACTGAAGTTGTGCCAGATTCTCATCAACCTGAATCCACAAGACAGAATGACAGTGTGCTAACCTCAGCTGGTGGCCAAGCGTTAGCACCACACTAAGCCACCTGCTAGTCCTGGGCTATTAACATGTGGAGTGGACCAAGGGCCAGGGGAGAGAGGGCTACATATGCAGGCAGCTCGGTGGGAGACAGAACAGGGCCTTTGGTAGCTAATCTCCAACACGAGCCTGTCCAGGGACAGGACAGCAGAGTAAGGCAGGCAGCATGGGGCTACTGAGGTCTCCTGTCCACAGGACATAGATTCTGTCTTCTCCCAGACCTTGTTCTTACCTCTGAAGACCACATATTAAAAAAGCATGTTAGATCTGGGCAATGGTGCCTCATGCCTTTAGCCCCAGTGTCCAGGTGTCTATAGAGTGAGTTCTAGGACATCCAGGGCTACACAGAGAAGCTTTTGAAAAAACTAAAGAAAAAAAAAAGAAGAAGAAAAGAAAGTATACCCACTGTTGACAATCCTAGTGCTTAGACAAGAAGGTTGAAAGCCAAGTAAGGCTATGATACTGAGATCGTGTGTGTGTGTGTGTGTGTGTGTGTTTTTAAGATTTATTTATTTATTTTATTTATGAGTACACCGTAGCTGTCTTCAGATACACCAGAAGAGGTCATCCAATCTCATTACGGATGGTTTTGAGCCACCATGTGGTTGCTGGGATTTGAACTCAGGACCTCTGGAAGAACAGTCAGTGCTCTTAACCGCTGAGCCATCTCTCCAGCCCAGTGTGTGTGTTTAAAAGAGTATACAGAGGGCTGGAGGGATGGCTCAGCGGTTAAGAACACTGGCTGTTCTTCCAGAGGTCCTGAGTTCAATTCCCACCAACCACATGGTGGCTCACAACCATCTG